AATAGTAGTAGTATATACATGGTGAGTTCTTGTTAAAAATTGTATAAACAACAATAAAAAGTAAAAACTTTAAAAGAATACAGGACGCATCGTTACAAGATGCGCCGAAAATGAAAAATCACTTCGGCTCTCTTTTTTTTCAAATGTTCCTTTAATACTTTTTTTTTATACAACTTCGAAAATTGATGGTCTTTTTCTTCATTTGTATAACATCTAAAGTTATAAATTGTGACGATATCCTCAAATTGAATTTAATCAACTAAAACAAGTCTGACGCTAAAAATTGAAGTTAATTATTAAACTACTTATCCCTATATACACACTTGCAACAAAAAATATTTTTCCACTCTCGAGTTTTAGGATCATTATGATAAAACACAAAAATTAAACTTTAAAGTCGGCGTGTATTAAAACGCAGTGTAATGCGAGGAAGATGAAATTATTAAAAAAACAAAGACAAATATCACGTCTTAAGAACTATCCTTAGATTTAAAAATCTCTTCGATAGAAGAAAATAAACGAAATCAGCGTCAGATATTTGGACAATTGTTCTTTGTTAGATAAAAAACGGATGGAAGGCCATTTCAAAACAATGTGACTTTATTCGTTCATATGGTCGATTCATGTGAAATTTACGTGTACTAAGTAGCTGTTACAGTTACAAAGAGCAATTCTCGTTTATGTGAGAAACGTACCACCGCTTCCGAGGGCATCGTTTTAGTCGCTCCTCTTAATCGACATACGAAGGACACGTACTATATTTTATATTTAACGTTATCTAACGGTGTAACTAAATTGCCTCGTTCCTTATGATGACACTTCGTCAGATTAGATTCGGTCGCGTGGCGCGCAGGGATACCCGCTACTATAAACGAGGAACATGTATAATAAATATTGAATAACAGTTGGTACTTATGGTAGTACAAAGTAGTAGAATGCAGCGTACACGTACTATAGCAGCGGCTATGAAAGTACTTACTACGCACGAGTTTGTCACATTCGCGCTACTTATTCTCCGGTTTTATCTGTGCTTTCGCTCTCTCCCTTCCTCCCTCCTTCCTCTATCTTCCACTTTCTCATCTCATCTTTTTTTTACCACACTTTTTCTTTTTTCTCTCTCTCTCTCTCCGCTCCCCCCTTTTTTCCATCCTTCTGTTCTTGCGTATGTGCTTACGCGCTTTTCCTCCTTACGACTCTCGTTTAATATTTCATTGCCAACTATCTTTCTGTCATCATTAATGACCATTATCATTGTTATCGTTATCATTGTCATCATCATAATAATTATTATCAGTGCATCGTCGTCTATATCGGTCGGGAATCGATACTTTCTTGTTTAACTTGCCGACAACTCGACCGCTCTGGACAGGATATATTCGTGCACCTGTGTTTATCGGTCCATCATTTGTTCATCGTAACACAAACAATAGACTCTCTTCAAAATGACCAACAATGTCTATTAACATCCTTTAGCTATTCACACACTTTCGAAACCATCTTCTCCATCTCGACGTCCGTGTCGATGTCGTGATGCACGTGGCTACTCGCATTGCTGTTGCTGATCGGTACCATGGTGTTGGTGATCGAAGTAGCCACTGTAGTGTTGCTACTGCCGCTGCTGCTGCTGCTGCTGCTGCCGCTACTGCTGCTGCTGCTACTACTGCTACTGCTGCTGCTGCTGCTGCTGCTGCTGCTATTGGTGGTGGTGGTGGTGGTGCTGGTGATGGTAGTGGTGGAAGAAGTGGCGGCGGCTGCGGACGCTGCGACCGTCGACGGTGTGTTCGGTGTTGTGCCTGGGGTTCCTGACAATTCGATGGGCGAACCTGGCGACGGAAGTGGCTCGGCCAGGTCTTCTAGTCCTTCGGGTGTTGGCAGTTTGTTCAGTTCCTCCCTCAACAGCCTGTAGTGTCTCTGTGAGTGGAGGGGAAACATAGGGCTTGAAGCATCGTATCCGTAATTACGTATGAAAAAAAAAAAAAAATGGAAATAACAGCTCGTTACTCGTGAGAGAAAACGCTTACCCTCAGCGATAAAGCATTCAGAGAAATACTCCGACTTGATCTACGGTCTGAACCATGCATCTCCATATCTCTTATCCAGCCTTCTAATTGCGCTACGATCTCGTGCCTCTTCATCCAGAAGTGAGTGTGTATCACCTGTCGTGAAACAATCATATTTTACTTTTGTGCTTGTTCATATTATGGAAATCGCGTGTATATTGTGTGTCAAAGCAGAGAAAGTAATTTAAGGTCGATAACGTACCTCCTTGAAGCACGGGCAAGGATTGCGTATTTGATCGAGCATCGCCCACTTAGCGGTAGCCTGACAGATATTCGCATTGTACTCTTGACTAGACTGAGCACCGCTCGATGTGCCTCGCGATCGTTCGTATCCAGGCTCGTTGAAGTAGGGTTCGGACACTAGGATCAGCGACTGTATCGATACTAAGACCTTAATTGGACAAAATTACACGACGTTAGTCAGCGTGTTCGTGCTCTTGTTAAAACTTTTTAGTTCTTAAGACCTACTCGGACGGCATCGATAAGTGTCTTGTTGTGCAATTCGGCGTGCGGATATTAATTTCAGATACGCGACCACTTATCAATATAGTGCGAAGACGTTATAAAAGCTGCGTTCCGATATTCACTGCCAGTGTTGACAATTTATCCGCAAATCGATCCGTCTGAATAGATCCTTCGCGCTTGTTCCGACTGGCTCACCTGAAGGAAACTACTAGTATGTGCATTCCATTTTTCCTCGGGCCGACCGTGCCACGTGTTGAGTACGCTGAGACAGACCTTTCCGTCATTGTATAAATTCGGATTAAAGCGCACGGTGTGACGGCCGGTTGTTTCTAGGTTTATCAACATTGGGCTATTAGGATAATCGGGAGGGAAGTACACGTCAAATTCAAAACAGCCGTTTGCGTACGGCGTTTCTGCCGGTCCTGTTATGAGTACCTTCAAAAATCGTATACATTGTGTTACATTGCGCGAATATGTGTGAGATCATCGAGCCGGCTTCAAACCTCAAGCACTGTGCGGCGGGCAATGCGGAGACGATAAAAGAAATGAGACATTCTGCTCGTTGGAAGCATCTAAATTCGACGTAATAATCAAGTCGCAGAAATACCGGCGTCTGTACTCGAGGATTGAACGACCGCTGAAACGACGTTAACCCTGTTATTCTATTCGTTTTCTACGCTATTGTTATGTGATATTAATCGGTACTTTATTAACTGATGACCTCCGAGAACAATCAATTCCGAGGCTTGACGTGTCAGTAGTTAAAACCGATCACGAGTAGACTCGAACAGAGCAGCAGGGTTAAATCGAGCGTTGAACGTGAAGATACCTTCATAACGTCCAATCTGTCCGCGTCGCATCTCACAAACACGCTACTGCTATAGGACAGAGGCAACGCTGTCGAGAGGGTGACAGCTTCCTGGGCTAATCTCTTCACTCGCGTCGGATGGCTCCGCTCACCAGCCGCCCTCATGTTCGACTCGAAGTGATACGAAACCGCGAATTTGTAACCCCCACCATCTGGATTCTCGGTGATCATCTCGTAGGTGTCTGAAGAGTCAACGTATGATCAGCAATGAAACGTTCGTTACGCTTCGCGATTAAGACCTATCCAGACAAAGTCGCATAGTCGCGTGATGCATAAGCGTGAAGAAATTCATGGCCAATCATGTGTCTAATATAGAAAATACCCTCTCTCAATAAGCGAGATATCAGCAGCATGTCGGCAAATTGATAGTAGATTCGATCAGAATATCATAGCCATATTAAGACGCAGGTCTTAATCTGTGTCCGCATTGAACTCGTGTTTTGTCGACGGAACCTGCTAACGGTTTTTGCTGCTAATGTGGCTAACACATTGGCAGGAAAAGCCGAACAGGATCTGCAAAATACATGTTCCATTTGAATAGATTTAAGTCATTACGGAAACGACAAATTCCGTTCGGTTTCTACAGTCAACCTGTCATCGTACTCTGCTGACGGATTCTGTTGTATTTCTGCTAGTGAACTGCCGACAAAATTTATAACACTTACAAACTTGGTCATAATTAGCTTCTGCATATTATCGGGGAAAGTCTTTTGTTTCGCGCATGATTGGTTAATTTCCCCACACATATGCAATGTATGATTACGCAAGTCGGTGTGGACAGAACTTCGGGCGCTGCTTACCGAATTGCAGATTTTTCATCACTTCCAGGTAACGGTGCTCGATAGAGCGCAAGGGTAACTCCGGTGCGGTCGGGCTGGGTCCAGGCAACTCTTCGCCAATACTGGACAACCTGCAAGTGGCGTTTTGCACGATGGTCGCGCTTTCCTGAATGTCAGGAATCAAGGTTGCCAAGCCTTCGTCTTGCTCACTGTCGTCCGGATACTTGGAGACGTTTTTCGACTTGTTACCCCTGGTACGGTTGATTTTGTGCACGTACGTGTCCACGCACACCCTCATACTCGACAGAAGGGACACCACGGACGGTTCGCCGGATTTGCCGCCTCGCGGCAACAAGAGCGGCGCCAATTGGCTGGACAATGCCATCGCTCTGAGCAGCTGCAGCACCGCCCGGTACAAGGGGATGTGCCTGGCCATATCGAGAACGGAGTCGTTGCGCAGGTATGAAGACAGCGCCGGTAAAAGACAGGAACGAGCCAGTAAGTCAGGGAAACCGGCGGGCAGCTCTCGCTGGGGTTGCCCGCCTCCCGAGCCGATGTAGCTCGCGAGGACTTGCAACAATACTGTCACGTGTTCGTCTTCGCACCGTTGTCGCAACAATGCCTGCTCGACGTTCCACGATTGTTGTGTAGATCCAGTACCAAAGCCGGTTCCTTTCGCCCAGTACAGGTGGGAGTTGTCGTCGCTGCGTCCCCCGCCGCCTCCGCCAGTGCCGCCGCCACCGCTGCTACTGCTGCTACTCTGGCCGGTTCTCTGCTCGGTGACTTCGTTTTGACCGGTCTGATGCGTGAATATCGCCAAGCAATTCAACAACAGCAGCATAGCCCCCACTTCTATCGTCGTTCTACGTAGAAGCAGGCCGTCGTCGGTGGTCGGCGGTGTGGCGTCCAGCAACTGCTTCAGTACTTGGAACGGCAAGGTCGGTAAGGAGGCGGCTAAAGGCGAGGACAACACTTCGCCACCCTCCCCGTCGTCGGAGACACCAAGAGCGAGTCGCAGTAGACACTGCGCCCGTTTCTTGTCCCTCAGAAGCACCTCGGCGTAGCCGGGCAGCCGAAGGAAGAGACCAAAGGCGGCGAGGGAATGCGGCGGCACGTAAGGCGGCGGCGTCGACATTTTCGGCGAGGAACTGTACGTTCTACCCTCCTCCAGTGCCTCGTAGATGTCGTCGTTAGTCTCCAGCTTCACCCAGTCGGCATCCGCTTGTTCCGGCGACGGTGATTTCTCGACGAAAGACAACGGTCTGCCGGAATCCGGGTATACCAACGGTAAGTGGCGCGCCAGGACCGCCAATCCGCCGCCTGCGCTGAACACACCCAGAGAACTCTCGATGCTCCTGTAGTTCAGCAGCTCGCTGTCGTTCTGCTTCGTTATGTCCTCTGCGAAGTAAATAAAAGCACGTCGTGAACTGTTCTAGATAAAATGACATCGGAAATTTTCCACCGGGGAAAGTACGCCCGAATATTCGTGCATCATGACTCGTGGATTAGACGGTGGATCAGTAACGGTGCTCCAGAACGGCAGTAATGATGCATGAATACCCCTGGTTGGAAATGCTTGATGTCACTATGCCTAGCGAGTGGGATTGCATTAATCCGTAAGTGTACCCGTGGAGGTCAAACTGACCCACAGACGAATGAACGAACGAACAAACGAGCGTTTCTCCGTTTCGTTTTTGTCTGCGGCATCGGCGCTTTCGGTAACTTGCCTCCGTCACTTATTGTTGGATTGTAGCGAAGTAGCGTCAATAACACTCAAAAATCTCAGCTATAAACAGCGGTTGTTATATTCCTCAAAAAGTCACGCGCCCATTTATGGGTTAAAGTAGTTCGTTAGTCCGTCGAACAATTTTCTTAAAAATCTTTTTAAATTTTGCCGCACACCGATGGCAACATTATCAATAGATCTGTAAAGTTAGAAAACGATTGACCATTCGGAAGCTGAGATATTCGCAACTGTGAATGTGACGCACTTTTTATACATGTTTCTCGAGGTTACTGTCTTATCTTTAACTTCTATTTTTAACCTCTTCTAAACCACATTTAGGATTTTAATAAAAACTACTGTGATATCAAGGATTAATGTGAAGACATTATACAAAAATGTCAGAATTTCTGACCATTTTGTTTTGAAGATATAGCCATAGGAAATTTATAATTTATAATAACGTCCGCGACATACGCACATATACACATATTTAAATCTTTGAATACCACTTTCTCTGTGTGTGTGCACCTTTATTAGTTCAAATGACATATAAATAAAGCATTAATAAGAGAAAAAATAAATAATATCTCCGTGTTTGTTTAATATTATGTATACAGAGTGAAGCATCAATTCGACCACCTTCAATTATTCGTAAACTATACTTTGTTACATAGAAAACAATAATTGCTTTTTTATTTTTCTTTTTTATTGGAACATAAAGGTCATCTTGGCCTCTACGATGCAAATGGATTAAATAGAAAGTTATAGGAATGATTAATTCGTTGACTACCACGCTGAATTCTCACCTGTGAATTCCAGCAGACTCAAATTTTCAAAAGTGTATTCAAAGAAAGTATTATGTTAATAGTTTTGCCGTTTCTTACTCAATATTTTCCAAAACATTTGAAGCAAAAATATTTCTAATCAGGCGAGTGAAGCCGTTACACTGGGTCTTTGCGGGAACTCGAGTGCACCCGAGTATGGGTAACATGATAGTCAACGTATGAAAGCAACGAATCGAATACCTTTGGAATCCTTGTTTTGTTGACGCAAGATCAAATGCAAGCATGGTTCGGATAATGAGACACCGCTGTCTTCGGCGATCGCCAGTAATTGCGCGATCGTAAGCTGAAGCGGTAAAGGTGTGTTCGGGCGGGACGAGTGTATTAGATACTGCTGATTCGTTGTGTTGGCTTGATTCGCCACTGGAACCTGTCCGTTGCTGGTCGTAGGTTTGTTCGCGATCGGCGTTCCGTCTGCAAGACAATGCGAAGGCGAACAGTCATGATAATTCGTTCCAAAGCGCATAATTGCTTATAAAATAAAGAAATAATAAAAAGTAAATTGCAACATCAATAATCTTATCATTTGGATCAGTCTTGGAATGTTTCTCTACGAATTTTGTCAATCGTTTCCGATTTCGTCCCCAAAAAGTGTGAAGATACCAAATGGCTTTCCAAATCATTCTAGAGCTCAATATATATGTATATATATTTTGAAATATATTTAATCATTTAATTGTATTAAAGTATACGATAAAAAAGCACTCTGATCGCGAACATACCAGAATTTAAACGCGGTTTTCGCACGATCGGACCACGAGCTTGCGATCTATTCGACGCCTCTTTAGCCCGCTTGTCTTTCGCCGTATTTCCAGCGGCCACGCTGAGCGTATCTACCATCAACTCCATCGGGGGTTGCCAAACCGGTTCACCGACACGGTTATTTTCGCTGGAACTTGCTTCGTTACCTTTATACGTATTTGGAAGTAATAGAAGAAACCAAGTTCCTTAAAAATAAAATTCCACACGGCCGCGTAAAAATATATTATGCGTAAAAGTATGTATCTCAGTCTTTTCCAACACTGATTTTCTCATCCTCTACGGATTCCTCTAACGTGCTACAACTATAAACTTCTCTAACATTAACGCATACACACACATACTTGTACTAATTATTATTTCTCTGTAATTTGAGACCAACTGTTCCACTATTGATATTCTCCGGTGCAGACATACCTGACACTTTTCGCAATATATCCGCTACCGTCGCTTGCGTCGGCATGTACAACAGTTGATGATAATGACCGAATGGATGAGCAGGGTGAGGCGACATGGATGGCATGTTGTAATTCGCCGTTCCTGCTGCGACTTTCATAGGAGCTTCCGAAGTTACCGAAACCAATACTTTCTCTCCTTCCAAGAGCAATTGCAGGATCAGTCTCCGAGTAAATCCAGAAATACCGTGGAGATATCGCACATCTAATCATAAGGCGGCACATTAGTAGAGTCGAAGCAAAAGCCATGTGTACAAAGGTCGACTCGGTCGAATTAATACATTACATAATACGTTATTAATGAAAACAGAGAACTCGTGGGACTCGGCCCAGCAAGAGAATCGACAGCGTAAGCTTGCCGGTACGCCCCGAGCACACTTACTCGAAGTCATTCGTTGCTGAGAAATGACTTCGGTCAAAAGTTCCGCCAGCAATTTCTGGTTTGCTTGGTGACACCAACAACATCTCGACAAGAATTTGATCATAGCGCTCTCCAGCGAAGTGTAGGACGCACTAATTTTCGAACACCTGCAACATATCGCGATATGTTTCTATTGCATATAGCGAATTTATGATCGCTGCCTTCGAGTTGCTCGAAATTAATCGCACTTTCGAGCGAATTTTTGTCAGGTTGATTGGACAGCTCTTCCCCATAAATACTGAATAACCGTATCGACTTATGATACGAGTAGAGTTGAGTAAGTTAATTTTTTACTTGATACTTCACAGCTGTTTATAAAGCCAATGTGGCGCCATGATGTGATTAAAAAAAAAAAAAAAACAGAAACGCGATACTAACCTTTATATGGTAGGTCGCGAACTTTACAAATTGTTCTCGTAATTTAATTAAAAGTTAAGTTAAAATGAAATTAGTTTTATTAAAGTTATAAGTTAAAAATTAACTTAATAGTTAATTATACAAAGCTATATATGAAATATTTTAACTTAACTAAAAAAAAATAAATAAATAAGTCCTCAAGTTAACGCATAAAAATAACTGAGTTTAAATTAAAAGTTAATTCATTTAAATTTGACTAAGTTAAAAGTTGTTAACTTTTTAACTTTTAACTTAACTTTTAATTAAATTAGCAAGTTACCATCCAATCCTGGATATGAGTAAATGCGGATCTGCAATAGGTGTAGCAAGTCTTTTTGCTCTGAGCGATAAAATATAATGTGATCTCTCTGACAAGAGGATTTTCCCGCGCTGTCAAAAATCATAATAACGTTTAAATCTTTGGAACACTGGAATATTTTCTGCTAGAAATAACGTGATAATGTAGTGCTCAAAGCAAACGACTTGTAACACTTATCGTAGATCCAACCTGAAGCAGCCTTCAAACGGAAACATGTCGACAAATGAAACATGTATTCCATGGGAATACTTGTGAATCAATCTAAAATATATTGCGCTCGTTGTTTTCTCCCCATTGTTTGCACAGGATGCACATTGCGATCTTTGTTGGTTTCGAGTGAGACATTGTTTGAGAGTTATGCGAAGAATACCTCGACACAGACACCGACGAGTTTTCGATAGGACGATTGCTGAGAAGTGATAGGAGCGGTAACCAAAAACCACGGCCTTCTTTGCCGAGCCAATCTCGCATCCTGCCTTCCGAACATACGAGCATTAAGAATTCAATCACCATCGCTATGCTGTCCGGTCGCATTATGCACAGATCATCTGGAAAAGATAACGCAGAGATGAGTAATATATTTTATATGAAAATAAGAACTCGTTTGCCATCATCATGTGAAGTGTACACTGAGCGAAAACGTAATATAGCTACGTGATATAGTCTCCATCTTTTACAAATGTGCTTTTAAGACGTGCTGTGGACAATTCTCTCGAATATCACAATTGGGGAACATATCAAAGTAATCCAATTTCAATTCGAAAGTAGGATCCTCCGTCTTACCATTATCCGAAAAGCCGGTATTTTCAGTCGCACTGTTCTCGTTGCTGTCACCCGATGCCATTGCGGCACGCTGATGTTGTTTGGATTTCTCCAAGTTGCAGAAATCTAAATATCGAAGTCCCAAGATAGAATTACCAAGTCTCATATTGTCCGGTTTATTTAAGGTTTCGCGCAGAAAAGCCCGCGAAAGCCTACTAGTTCTTGGATTTATCGTGAAAAGTTTAACCTGTGATCAGTGCTGTGAGTAGCGCGGGGAAGCCGGAGTCGATTAGCTGTTGAATGCCGGGCGGAGAGCGCGCTGCCGCGGCTACGGTTAACAGCTGACCCTCCGTCAGACGCAGCCGTTTGTACTCCAGCAGTACGAAGCGGCAGTACCACTCTTCGGCATTGATCTCGCTCTTCTTATCGTCTGTTTGGCCCTCGCTCTTCTTACGATCGTCGGATATCGACGCGGAATGATCCGTCGCGAGATTCGGCACCAAGATTCGCACTCGTTGCAGAAGCAGGGGAAACAACGACGGCCTCACGTAGCAGAAAGCGCAGAGAACAGAATCGATCGCCTGCTTCAAGGCAGAGTTCTTGCCGAGAGTGAGGGTCCATTGGTACAATGAGCTGCGCAACATAAATCGGCCGGATTAGCGTCAAATAAGGAAACTCGAGGAAGCAACAGTGAGCGCGAAGCAGCGACGCTTACTTGAACAGATCGTCCGTCAGAAGCGCCTGCAGATCGTAATTGTGGTTCTGCTGTTGGTGGGTCTTCCAGATGATCGAAGACACACAGTGAATGTACACTGCCGACGGGTTGACGGAATTGGGATTACTGTTCGTGTGGGATATCCCGTTGCTGGCCGAAGTCTGCAGCCAGCTGAGAACGGCTCTCATGCGAGCCTCTGTGCTGGAGTCTCGGATGGAGCAAAGCTGCTGAAGCAGTTCGACGACCAACTGTACGATAGACGTCTTCCGGGAAGTCACGGCTCCTGCAAAGCGTCAGTGCAGGCGCGTTAGCTATCATCACGTGTGGTTTTAACACTTAGACTGCTCAGCTAGTGTTTTATTAACAGAGCCACAGGGCTCGCAACCGTATGTACAGAGTCAGAATAGAAAACAAACCATGTGTTTCATGAAAGGATGACGATATCTATCCTTCAATACATATTTCGTATGTCATGTTATCTAACGTAAACATATTGATGTAATAACAATAAAATAATACGACTTGTACATGATATCCTACACGCTTTAAAGAACCACAATTATGCACATGGATTGCTTTCCTAAAATATCACGAAAGATATATGTGTAAGTTTGATTATTTTATAATAATACTAAAATACGTGTAATGTTAATTTTGTCTTTTTACATTAATATACATTGTGCAAATGACATTTCGTTTCCTCACTCAATATTTCTATAGATAATTCATAAAATTATCTCTATTTTAGTTATTAAAACCGTCACTCATAGATCGCGCGCACCATCTACGTGAGCGACGAGGCAGTCTAAGTGTTAAGGCAGCAGATCACTATATGGCTGCGTTCAGAAAACACAAGCAATCAGTGAGCGGTTAGTGATTATTGGTCTTTACTGTTAAATTCCTAAATTTAGATTACTATTAATTACACTGTAAATACAATTACTCAACCGTTGTGTTTTCTGAACAACCAATCAGTATCATTCGGAGACGGCCATGGTGTTTTTTTCTTTTTTTTTTTTTTTCCGAGAGACTCGAAATGATCTGAGGTTTCTTCCTCGATCTCTATCTTATAAACCGTCAGTCAGGCCGTCTCTGCCTTCGTTTGCGGAAAATAGAGAACGTTTCCCATAAAGCGATACCTTGGAAGAAAAGGGTGGACCTGTTGTTGAGTAAGAGACCAATGAGATGGAGTCCAAGCTCACGAGAGTGTAAGCCAAGTTGTAATAGAACCCTCTCCAGGTTGGCAGTAAAGAGAGACGGTGCTGGGAGTAACAGGAGGTTGCAGCATGCCTCGACCAGGCCTTCGACCGAAGCCGCGGAATTAAGCACCTCGGCGGCTAGATTACTGTTCAGTGTGCTCACCGACAAGCACTGATGCAGTAATCGCAGCCACCCCAAGCTACACACAAACGTGATTAGAAGTAGTTCCTTCGTAGCCTCGTAGTAATCGTTAACCCGTTCAACGGAAAGAAACACCATGTATCTCATGAATCTAGCATCGAGTCCACAGGTTCATTCCACTTGGCTGAACTAGCGTTGCACTGGAACTTCGTTTCCCTTTCCCAATACCACGTTACATATTTTGTTCGCTCTAAGAATGAGAAGTGTAGCTTAATTCAGCCAAAGAGAACAGACCTTGAGGTTCTTTTGAAAGTAAGACCTCTACTGTGGTTAAACTGACTCTTCATCATACAATTATGGTAAACAAGTTACTAAGATTACTCGCAACGAGTTAATGAGATTACAATCGAGACAAGGACGAAGTTATTGTCTGAGGTACTTCGATAATTCGAAGTAATGACGTTACCTGGTCTTCGTCAGTTGTTCCTCGTCCATCATGTCAAAGCTCGTCTTATTCTCACCAAACGCGGTGGTCCCCATCAGTTTGATTTGACTGAGACTTACATTCGTCGAGTCACGCGGCTTGTACAGACGCACCAGCACGGAAGTCACGACTTCCGGCTGGGACAACGTAAGACGTATGTACGTTAAGCCAGCCGTTGGCATCGGAGGACAAACAGGCATTACTGGACTGTTGTTTTCTCTTGATATTTCAAGAGCCACGGCCGAGGGGCACGCTGTTGAAAAACAATATACGTGTATTAGAAAATCCGTATCCACCTCGTCCGTTACGAGACAAACTTCGCGAAGTTACGGCATTTTCTCTCTCAGAGAGAGAGAGAGAGAGATCTGATGGTCAACCTAAACGCAGTGATTACGTTTACACAGCAATCTACGCAGAAAAGCGTAAACCGCTGATGTCATCCAGCAGAAAATCTCCCAACAGTTACAAAGCCGCTTCTTCCGCTGAACGCAATCATTGTTATAATAATGCGAACTCACTGGACAACGCCGAGTGATGCGGCTGCAGTTCCACCTGCCTGAGCAGAATAGCGCACGGCAAGGTGATCGTGAGATCGACCCACTTCTCGTCCGGGTAATAGTGATACGACCACGCGGGTGTTCTCGCACGTTTATGAGGCGTAGCGTTCTGTATAAGGACATCCGGTGGTTGGGCGGTCGCGCAGGAGATCGTGCCGAGTGGCGCGAAATTCAGCAAACCATCGGAGTTCGATTCCAACGAACTGACGGTCTTCTTGCTGCTGCTACTGCTGCTATTGGCCGCGATCGGCATCACGTTGGGCGAGTTTGACAAGTGCTCCATGACGAGCGCAATCACTCCGCCCGAGGCGGAAGCGCTTGCGGCCCCGCTGTTGCTCGACTTCACGAGATTCTGACAGACCACTTTCACACCGCCCATCTCCGTGAAGATAGACAAAGACGACACGTTGTCCAACACTCTCAAGATGTACCACAGAAGAGGCTCGGATAGCTGCATGACTCCCAATTGCCGACCCAACTCGGTCTCTCCATACGCTGCAAAAAATTATTCGGGAATATAGAAAATAAAGGGAATAAGAAATAAGATGTTAGAAATTTCAGTTTAAAACATAATAAAAAGAATAGAGAAGAAAATATATAAGAACCTTTTTAAAACGAGATCACTACTTTCATCATTTTCTTGAAAATTATCAATTGATTCAAACTTTCATTTGTATATTGATGACTATTAGACATTTTCAAGATTAACTTTTGGTCAACTACTAAGCTCTATTGGCACAAAAATTATAAGGAATAGAATTTCGTCAGTGTTCCTAATTCTAGGTCTGTTCTTTTATTGAAGTATAGTTGTCCATATGTCGAAATTTAATTCCTTGTTTCTAATTCCCTATATTTAAACATTTGTTCCTTATTGCTTTCATTGTCTGAGCTTTAAGAGTTGCAACTCGAAATAATATTTCTATGAACGCATGAAGTCTTACACGAGGAAAGGTAGTGGTAAAACGGTTTCAAAACCAGGGTCGGATTGCTGGCCTTTTTCGTCAGAATAGTCAAAAGAAGGAATATCGCATCCGATATCGAAGCTGGGTCTCGGAGCTCTGTGGTCGACGTAGTACTCGCGCTTCCGCCCAGAAGCATAGCTAACGAGGACTTGGTAATGTGACCGAGAGTGCTCAGCAACCGCATCATAGTCGGCTCATGCTGCAGAACTGAGAAATGGAGGAATTTGTTAAACTTTTGCACACATCGAGGCCAAAGATGTGTCATCCTTGCGCATGTATACATTAATAATTTACCAGTATCGGCGAGGCAAGGTACGCAAGATTTACTAGTCGCTGGCTGTTGCAGGCGAAACGAGGTCTGCTGTTCCGCGACTTTGCTCTCGTCCGTTTGCGAAATGTTTATCTGCACCTGTGGCTCGCTTGCGCTAGCTCTGGGATCTGAAGTCGCTTCCGACAGTTCCTCTTCTGCTGGCTTCTCCGAGCGATTTTCACGAGCCTATAAGATATTCAAGAGAACGAGTTGCACGACGAAAGAAGATGGATAACATTTTCCAACAGAACGGGAAAAATACGTACGCCTGGTAGTGGAGTTTGGATGAACACGCACACTAATTTAACGAGAGCCACAACCAGGGTATCCCACGAAGCAGGCCGACCTTGTCTCGTGTCACCGCCTAATACGCAAGCGAACAGACCACCGAAACCACCAGAGCCAACGGACTGATTGGGCAAAGCGATTGCCCCTCCACATTCCGCACCAACTGTTAAAGTTTTAGCAGTGAGACTTTCGTGAATCTTTCAGGTGAGATCAAACTAAAACTATTAACGTTGAGACTCCTTCAAAAATGTTATCGCGGATCAACTGATCCCAATGATGATCCTCTTTCTTTATATCGTCAATATTCAACATGCAACTGGATTTTTAATGTACAAGATCAATAAAACTACCAAATCGATGACTTTACCTCCGGCTCCTCTGACGTAAGTCGAGACCAGCACGCCGACGCACTCGGATATGCTCATGGCCATGCTCAAATCGGCGTTAACATAATTTAGATTAACCACGGACGTTAATAACTTGCACTGAGCGTCCAAAGGCCCTCTTCTTGTAATAAGGGCCCCACCTGGTTGCACGAGCTGGAATACCACCCACAACAGCAGGTCTTTCAGGGCGTTACCTAAGAAACTATCCGGTGTGATCACGTCGCACATCACCTCCAGTCTGAGGAGGAAATCGTGCAACGCTTGACAGACCGTAGGCCCAGCCTGAAATAAAAACAAATATACAGTCACAAAAAATATATGAAAAATGCAAAAGTATATCTAGTGTTACATATAAATCGTCGGATATACGCAAGTCATATCAATTAGATAGTCCAAATTACAGATTGGCTGAAATATCGTGACGTAACGATCTATCACGATTTATTCTGCAGGACTTATAATTCTGATTTACCACTAATAATATGAGTGATGACTAATAGCTTATAGAAAGCCTTTTATGTTATTAAGTGATTGAATGATGCTCACCATAATATATTGCTCATCCATAGTGTTGACGTTCAATCCATTGCCGGAAAGTAGGCGCAGCAACATAGGGCCGGTATTGCGTTCCTTAACAATGCAACTAGCCACACAGAAACCGCTAGTCGCGAATCCATCCAAACCGTGATATCTTTGCAACGATTGATTACAGACGATGGTTAAACATTGCAAACCAAGACACCAGGCGCGCAAAGAAATTCCAGAATGCCTGAAATTCAATTTAATTTGCATATCGCGTATACGTGAAACATTCAGTATAGAACATAATGCATATACCGGTCGATGTAAACTTAAAGCATTTTTTAACATGTGACTTACCAAGAAAGTGCAGATATAAGATTACTAATGGCTGATAAACTTAATGGAATTACAGGCGTCAGGGAAGAATCAAGCTGAGAAGAAGAGTGCGAGTGTTCGTTGGGAGCATCCATGTTCAGTGTCAACCAGAGTTGAAGGACCAACTCCAGATTCGTACTATTATTCTGTTATACACACAAACGGAAGATAAAGCATAAATAATTATGTAAAAATATATTTAGAAAATGTTAATAAATGTTTCGTACTCAGTTACGTACTAAATACTAAAATTCTACTAAAATTCACAGGAAAATATCGCGTAGTTGTTGAATAAAGCCAAAGATAAAGTGTCAATTATACTCCAAAGTAACTTGCACCGACCAAAGTTCCTGTCTCAAGACATTCAGATCGTCAGAAATTTCGTGTATGACACAGAACTTGAAGTAAACAAATTTTTCGCACCGAACCAACAACGTGAGCGTTTCACTATCAAACACTTCGCTCGGAAGATGAATCGCACACTCACGTGTAAGTATAAATCCGCGAATATTTTATCAAAACATTTCGTTAGCATTGACAGGCTGGAAGGTGTGGGGTCAGAAGAATTCCACGTCTCCTGACTTCTATCACCCCAATCCGCGTCGGCTTTCGGCATGGATGACTGTTGACTCGAACGGCTCGATTCCGTAGGCATCTGTAATGCATCGGTAAGTAAGGTTCATTCGTATAACATCGTGTACGGTCTCTCATGCTTATTTTGCAAGAACAAGTTGCAATATGCACTGCTTGAAACGACTAGAAGATCGTAGAGGAGGACGTGGATCGACTCGAAGCGATCTTCTATAATTGTTCCGAGAAGCACGGGAAGAGAACGGTATACAAACTAACGTGTATCGGCGCATTTATACTGTGAGGTAGATTGTTCATGCCAACTGTGGACAGTACTCTCAGCGATATTTCTACGCCCATCTCGACCCCGTATTCCAATCGTGCGTCCATCGCCAACGAGATACTGCTAACAACATATATAATTTGTTACTCCGTTCAGTGAGATGTACGTGTTACAGGAAGCGGAAGTAGCGAACAAACTTCCGTACAGTCGGTTCTACACGATGTGGCAAGTGTAGACAAACGTTGACGATTATATCGATCACGTATGTTGGATGAACATATGCGATAATATGACATATATAACGTACAACGAAATATATCATGACATAATATACATAATACAACATACGTGGTGAATATAATCGCTAATGTTCACCTACATTTACCACATCGCGTGGAGCCGGCTTAAGAGAGCGAGCTCGCGTTCTGAAAGCTCTGATATAAATACCCGGTAATGGCCGAAGTCAGGATCTTTGATACTGTGCTACCCTTCTTCAACATATTTCTGCCGCGCTCTAATATGTCGTCGAGAAATTCTTCTAATTCACTGTCATCAGACTCCAAGAGGGACGGCAGAAAGCCGTTTGACTTGGAAGTGGAGGCGGTTGTTGACGTCACCACGATGCTATCCTGCGCGTCTTCCTCCGCATCTACTTCGACGAAACCTTCGCTGTTGCTCAAAGCGGCGGCGGAGGAAGAGCTGGTGCCCGCAACGTTACTCGAATCCTCTTCCGTTGTGTGGCTCTCGTCCGTCCCCATCTCGAAGCTCTCCTCCGTCGGGCTACTTTCGTGCATGGGACACGCTCGGGGAAACAACCGTCCTCCTGCGAATGAAGTGATCGTCCACGTGTTTCACATGTCGCACGGAAATGACGGAGGAGGTCTCTCAGCGTGTCTCGCGAAAGGCAAAATACAGAGATTGTGATACCTTCTAATAGGTCCAGCAGAAGACACGAAACAGCATGCGACGACCAAGTAGCATCGGATGTACCCGTCGCCAATCTGACTAATTTTAAGAGTTGTTCTTCCGTCATAAGCTCGCATAAGCTAATTGCGGGACGTGTTGATACCACTAGCCTAGCGACTACCTAGGTGTGACAATTTATAGATGTAATGGTACGCATATAATAATCAGAAGACTATTAGGTTTGGCTTCCGGCTTTCGTGTCACTGCATCTTTTTTGAATATATATCTATTTCACTGACGATATCAAATACGTTCCTCTACACCTTTCCCTATGCTCACCCTCTCCCTCCTCCTCGCCATATACTATTAATAAACGTCTATTTATTTGTGAGAGAATATCTGTGCAAAAAGAACCGATATGTTCACGAAAAATATGGGGAACAAATACATAAAAAAATGCGGCTGCAACGCGGAAGCCAAACCTAATGTTTCTCCATGTCACGAAAGCTTTAAATTATAAATAATAATTATTCTATATATAGTTATAAATAAACTTATATAGCTATTTTGAGATATTATAGGAAAAAATCAAATTTCTTAATTATCGATACAAAGTTAAACCGATCGAAATCATACACATGACGTAATCCATCAATACTCATGCACCGGATTACGGTGGACATCGGATAATAGATGAAAAAAAAAATCATATTGCAAATATAATCGATAATTCGTGTTCCAGCCTCGCAGAAGTCTTACCTTGCAAGCTAAGAGGAACATATCGACATTGGTGGAATTGTGCAAAATCAATGCGACGAGACCACGCGCCACTGGTAAAACGTACTGATGAGACAGGTTAGTCACATATTCCACTTCTAAATCCACAATATCAGACTTGCTGAAATTTACATAACGAGGAATATCAATTATTTCCTAATTATCACGTGCTGTGTAGATCAAGGGCATTGATACACGCGTATACCGACCTACTGCTAGATGCCGCTGGAGCACGTGAGCCACGCGAGAGATGTTGCATCTCGTTCCTTCGGATACCAAGGATATCCTTGTAATGCTTAGCGGAATGCTGTTTCAGTGTTTTCTTGAAGTAGCGTTCTTGGGATTTTATGGTCGCTTCTACTTTGCTGTATAACGTAGCTGCCTGAGAAGAGAGAGTGGCCCACCCCTAAATACGCCCCATTGTATTTTCTTTTGCATTTGCTATCAAAATTATTAAGAAAAAAAAAAAAAAAAAAAAAAAGAATGTAGCTAAAATACTGTGACATAAATATTAGATGTGTACCTGGGGAGTCGTTTGGTAAGATTTCTTGGCTTGCTCTAATTCATGAAGCTGCTGTTTATGATGCAACAGGCGTTTCTGCAATCTTTTTCGGTAGCTACGTGAGGCTGACGATCGGCTGGCATTGACGTACTTCCTCTGCATAGCCGACTCTCCTTGAATGAATTCCCAACGAGACAACAAACCTTCCAAGACAAATACATATATATTACATTATCAAACAATAATTATTTATCGCATTAATAATTATTTATTGCACATGACATACCTTGCTCTTTGTTCTTCTCTTGATTGTCCTCCACGCAGGGAGGTTGGATAGTGGTAGTGTCTAAACATACCGATAGGAACAACAATACCCAACCTATCAGAATGACGTCCAATCGATGAGAATTCGTAGATTGCCCACTCGCAAGAGGAGATAGCAATTTTCCCAGAGTGCGAACCATGGCATCGATAACCGAAGACTTGCTTGCTCCAGCTATCAGCGACTTTCGTCCGAGGAATGTTAATAAAATGAACACTCTGGAAGTAAAATTTAGAAGTTCTGCTAAGTATACACCCGATTTCTAAACGGTTTAGACACCTTATCCCGATGCAGCTTGGAATACAGCCAATAATCCAATGAGAGTTCTCATTTCTCGAAAACGATTTCTCTCATCGGACCATCGTTTGCGTTTCGAACTGTATCAATAAAAGATGCTCGAACCGTTTAGAAACCAAGTATACAATTTACGCATCCATAATAATAAAGTACCACTGTCGAGCGACGATGGCATTCTGAAGTTAGGCCGCTATTTCAGGCGTCATGCGACGAGTTTGTCGGATGCGTCGGTTGACTGTCGGATAGAGAATTTCTAAGAGCAAAGAAAACGTTAGGGGCCTCAGAAATGATCTATCTAACAGCTATCTGGCATATCCGATAATACTTGTACAACACATGAAATATTAGCCTTAAGCGTGAAGCGATAAATATCCAAGTCCCCGAGCCTTACCTATCCTGTGGGAAGATATGAGTGGATGACGATGAATAAAGATTTATCAAAGTGTTGCACAAGAAGTTGCCCCACCATGGCTGGTGACCTGCCATACCGGCTAAGAGCGCGGCAGCATGCAGCTGCAAGCGTGGTGCTGGCGTCACAACGCATATCGAATGAAAAAATTTCTCGCATGTCGTCGGGGTAAACACTTCATACAGAGACATTGGTACCTGCGTCGGAAACGGTAAATGATACATATCGTATACAAACGGTACATACATACATACATACATACATACATACATACATACATACATATATATATATATATATATATATATATATATATATATATATATATATATATCATTGAATATCAATTTATATATTTTGATATATTGATTAATATATTGATTATTTTTAATATTTCATATGTCGACACTAGATATCGATATTCAAATCGATCAGGTCGGAGCAATACAGGTAGCCAAAGATCCAAGGCAGATTAACAATTCGCAGTTCGCAATCCAAATTCAATAATCATGTCTGCAATGAGTAGTGTAACACGGGCTTAAGGATATATTTAAAAGTATACCTACATTAGCTACTGGGCCAATCTCATACACGGTATACAGTAGGATATCCAGCAAAGTCTCTCCGAGGACCCGTAATTTGTCACTGGGCGCGTTTGCGAAAGATGTAGTCGGCACGTTCCGTAAACCTCTCCACGACTCGAGACGTCGCCAGACTCCCCGCACGATATTTAATTGATGTTGGAACATGGTACATTCCTATGACATGTGAACGCGTGTTAAATCAATGCGTGTCGATTGTTGGGTGTTTTTTTAATCAACACCCACTATTTACAGTGCGTTATACCTCATGAAAGATTGAATCGAAAAATCCATAGCCGATTTGTCGAAGAAGGTAATACATCTTTATAACTAAACTCGAAATTAAAATTCTGTTGAAGTAAATCCGCTTGAAATTAATCGAAGAAAATACATTTGTTATTCACTTGGCCGTTCGGAACATAACTTGCGAAAAGTCTTGATCTTCCAATTACTTTTATCTCGTAAATTACTAAGACGTTTCGGCATTTCCGTTCTGTACTTTTCGACTCAAATTTTCATGAGGAATAACATTGTAAATAGTGAGCGTTATTTAAAAAACACTGTATATTAAGCGAACGAACAGCGAATGTGTGATATGAATGTATATATTCGCGTCTAAACGCGCACAAACTTTTTTTGATAAATCACCCTATGAGTAAATCGGCCCAAAATGTTCTATTCAAATTCGTTATGGTGCACACATCTTCCAAACTGTAACAAAAGTTTGCATTCGCTGTTCGTTTCTTACTAGTTTGCTCAGTGTATATTCAGCTTTATAACTATATATTTGATACCTGATATGTCTGTAATATTTTCGGCGACGGCCGTTCGTTACTTTCGTGAAATATCTTGTTGCAGCAAAGGTAATGTTGCATATGCATGACATTAGGAGTCTCTGAACACAGCAATGGGTCCAATAAAGCTTTCAATCTTTCATTGGCTAAACTGAATCTGAAAGTAGAGATTTTTTCTCAAGAACAGACAGAGAAAAATGCACGAACAATCCATGTTATCTGACCCACACAATGGTGCAGCGTTGCCATTCAGTTACCAGAATAAAAAAAGTGTAATAATGACCTCTTAGACATTAAAATGACCAAAAGTGATATCTTTTGTTAAATTCTAAGGCTATTTAAACAAAAAAAGTAACATTTACTTTTACCTTACTTTTACCTTCCCAGATTTATCTTTGAATAATTTAACATATAACGAGTGCTTTTCATAATACAGTTTAAAATAATAAGACCGAAAGCATGAATGATATGATCAGCAGTAGACAAGAAGGCAAAAATATACATAGAACGCCTATATTTTACAAGTTTAACGGAAGCTCAGGAAAAAAAAAAGATTATATAATGACCCATTTTGGACAATAGTGAATTTTTTAGTGACTTATCAAGAAAAATGACAAAAAGTTGCTAAAGTAACTGGATAGTAGCTTTAGTTAACTGTGCTGTATGAGCGTATGTATAAGAAAGTTGTATCAAGGCAAGAAGAAGCAATATAATACCTGCATTGAACGTCCTCTGCTAAAGCCGATAATATATTACATTGCGTATCAATAGTGGCTTGTAAAGAGGGATCGAAAATGTTATCGTCGAACGTCGAGGAATCGCTCAGCTCCGAATAGTTCTCTCCAGGCAAGACCACCATGTGCCCGTAAAACATCCCCAACGGTATCTTGCACGTAGTCGTGGACATTCCGTAGCGTCCTATTGTGGTGATCTGGTGACGGCAGAAAAATCGTCATTTGTACATCGTGAGAACAACAAACAAGCACTACCGTGAAATATTCGGTTGATATATTAAGATAATATTGGGCCGAATATTTGCATCGATCCAATCATTCGAGAATAGAACTAAGGCGCGACAAGACGCGCGTAGCTGGAAAATGCATTGCTGCCAGCGCTTTGTGGTTTACCTTGAGATATCTGCAGACTGGGGGTGGCTGAAGATCGTAGACAATCAAGGGTTTACTCCCGATATCGCCAGCAACGATAAGCCGAGTGCCGTCCGTTTCTTCGCTCTTAGTCCATATGTCTATTGAGAGCGACACGAGATCGCTACACGAGGGAATCATCAGATCGGTCAGCAACACGGGCGACCCGAAGTCTAGTATGACGAATCGTCGTGCTCCCGAATGCATTCTTTCAACGACCAGTGCTTGCTGAGGCGGCCAACACAACAGTCTTCCCCATGGGAATGTGATATCTTCTCGCTGCAATGTTCATCGTACATTAAATCATCGGCGAAGTAATAATTTCGAAGCTAACACTCTCCAAACGCATTTGTCAGAGAGATAGAGAGAGATAGAGAAAGAGAGAGAAAGAGAGAGAGAAAGGGAGAGAGAGAAAGGGAGAGAGAGAAAGGGAGAGAGAGAAAGTGGAATACTATCTTCGCTACGATATTTCATTCATTGCGGGGAAGGCATCCGCGTTTTAAATCTTACTGAAATATACAAAGGATTATGCATCGTAAAGGATATTCGTCGTCTCGCGACCTTAACTTTGCCAACAGACTTGACCTAACAAACTTGAAGCCGATCTTTCCTCAGCGAAAATGTCAAAACATCGATTAACTTTATCAAGTAAACTTTACTCCAGTAGATCTTTAATTCGAATCTCAATTGCATCGATATGCAACGTAGGAAGTTGAACATTTACGACGAGTGATGGTTTCGTCGGTATTTGCATTGCAAAAAAAAATCGACTTCGAGAATTGACCGGTGGTATCTGTTTCTAAAATTAAGGCTGCGAATGGAAATTACTACACACGCTGTATATAGCATTATGTACGACTGAATTACGTCGGAGAGTCTGCGGCAGAACCGAATCGTAACTTTATGTCACTTTCTAGCAGTGCCGTGAGAACTTGGAACGCGGGTTCCCCAGCAGCGAATTCGCTGCTGCTGCTGCTAATACATGTGTAGTGTGTATTCCTGTATAGTCATGAGCAGAACATGTCTCGCGGTAGCGCGATAAAACTTTTCTGTCTACTGCCTACTACTTTGCTTTGCCTAACTGTCTCAGCTCATTCCTAGACATAGCACGGAAAAAAACCCAATATTCTTAGACACTACATATTACGTATATAGAGAAGATTCGTCAATACTGTGGTTTCCTAATTTGATTACACCATACTCTGCTCATGACTACAGGGATACATACTACACATGTGTTAGTAGCGAGTTCGCTGGTGAAGGGTCCACGTCCTAAGTTTTTACAAGACTGCCTTCTAGATATACGTATCTACGGATCTGTTGCTTGATATTTACAGGAAAGCACTTCGAGTCACTCGAACTCATTACTCAGCGTGATTTTCTCGTGATACGAACTAGAAAATGCACATAAAGTGAAGTAAACTTACTGGATATATACTAATAGCGAGTTCGTTCGTAACGAGAGTTGGTGTACAATAAATATCATAAACTAGCCCTAGAGACTTTTTGCATCAAACAATAAAGCCAGTGTACAAAAGGAGAACAGAAACTATGTCTGCTGCTTGCACACAGAAAAAATAATAACCGTTTGCACAGTGATGTGTGTTAATATAAAACTAATTTGGTAGTATTTGTGGTTGTAAATGAACAACAGAAGAAGTAGGAGAACCTTCGAGAGAAAACTATGAACGCACAAAAAGTAAAACTGGTATTATATGCAAGAACGATATCGTAAAACATGGAGTACATAATTCATCGTATCGTGTAACACATGCAATTTGCGCTCAACATCACTCAGCTGCGTTTGACAGATGAAAAAAGTTTTGTAACGAACGTGTGTTTCAATTACAACTAGCATATTAACAAAGCGAATAAACGATAGAGAGAGAAAGAGAGAGAGAGAGAGAGAGAGAAAGAGAGAGAAAGATAAAGAGAGACAACTGTATTGCTGAACTCAGAAACGAAGAACAAAAGAAAGAATGGTGCGTGTGTCTTCGTCTAATATAATCTACCTTTTTAGGATTGCCCTCCTCAACTTTGTTTATAGCAGTATCGAGATTTTGTACTGATGATTTTTCTTTTGTTACAATGGAACTTAATATATGTGAACTAGGCATATTGTTTTGTGTGCTATGCCAAGTCTGGTTATCGCCAGACGTGTTGTTAGCTTCATCATAGTCTGATTGTTCATCAGGTGTGAGCAATAGTTGTGAAGATGGCTTCTTTAGCACTCTTCCTGTATACATACTAAGCAGATCGCTTAATGTAGTTGACGATTTAGTCTGAACATCTGGTCCTAGCGATCCAGCATCCAAGCTCTACAATGTGTGTACAATTAATATTTCTATATCTCAATTAGAGAACTGAATCTATTTTGGAAAAAAAATGTCTATACCGTATATATGCGAACATGTCTCTAAGACTTTGAGAAAGAGAAAGAGAGAGAGAGAGAGAGAGAGAGAGAGAGAGAGAGAGAGAGAAAGAGAGAGAGAGGGAGAGAGAGAGAATGAGAGAGAAAGTGATTCGCCTGCCCTACTCTACGAATGCCAAGACCTCACTTAGCACTTAGTACACTATCTTGCAGACTATAAGAATCGTATTCGTCTGTCGTAGTCTGTGGCGCTGGCACAACGTACATTTACGAGTTAACGTTACGATATCGATATGATAACACGCCAACACACCTCAAAAAAAAAAAAAAAGCGACGAAGCGTTTCGCCGACGCTCCTTTACCACCGCTATGAAACGATGCGCATTGTCGCATCGTGCACGAGAAGATCACCGCAATTCTAAACTAGATCTACAACGCGTAGAATACTCACGTAAGTATAATGTACCATTTTGACATCGGACGCGCCGCTGTTGTTTGTCGCTGTATTATCATAGAGAGTAGGTCCGATATTAATCGTACTCATGCCGGGACCAATATTTTCCATCTTCGTGCCGTCGGAGGCGGCATGGCAAGTGAAATGAAGGGGCTCGACCTAAATCACATTCAATGTTCACAATGTCACAAACGGACCGATCGAAAGAAACGCCAATAAACACGCAGTAAACACGCGGGATCTTAATTCACCGATTCTTCTCTTAAAAAGAAACTGTGTCTCATATATATTCTATTAAATTTTATATTTCACATATTTCGAACGGTGAAGAAACATTATGATTTAAAGAGATACATTTTCCCCCCAATGAATTCAACCTTTACGATTCAAGAACTCAAAATCGATGAAGAGACCCATACTGCATATTCACTCAATTATTTCACTTATGCGGACAAGTGACGTTACCTCGAGGAGACCTTTCATATTATGGTTAGTGCATAGTGCCTTCAATTTACTCGGTACTACAAATTCACTAGCGGGATGCGTAGGCAGTGTGAGCAGGTCCCTCAAATCGATGGAATGCGCACAGTGAGCGAATTTGGGCAAATGCGCGGAACCCGACGAAGTCATAGACGGGCCTGTTTGCTCGTCAGTTGCTACTGACGCGTAGGTGACTGGTGTTGAACTAAACTTCGGTAGTATCGGTGGTTCTAAGTCGAACAGTTCCGTTTCAAAGGGTGTGTTATATAAACCAAATCTAGAAAGAAACAAGCAAATAAAATTATATAAATCACAGAATCATGGAGTCATAGTAACGAAAGAAAAGTCAGTTAAAATTTTAAGAAGTGCGCAAAACACTCTTCTTTTGCTATTGCGATTTTATAGTAAAGAGAATCCCGGTCGTTTGCTTTATAAATTACAGACATTAAAAGATGTGTGCACACTGCTAAAAAATACACCGTTTTACCTTGTCGCGAGCAGCAAATGGTAAGGATTTACTCTATTGGATAACTCAGTAGCTATCTGCTGTACCAAAGAGACACATTTCTGGGCGATGCTGTGATTCCTATCCAAAGGTAAAAATCTAGTTACGAGTAATTGCAGCCATCTCAATGAACCAGCCCATTGAACGTCCATGATCGATGGCAACAAGTTCACCAGAACGGGAAGTATAGCCTCATCGAAAGTTTGACCTGGTGGATCGTCTATGTTATAAAATCCCCTGAAAGGCAGAAGTCGAAATGAGAATTCGTTTTTGGACAGAGTTCTGCCGATGTAACAACAACACCACGATAATTCCGTGCAATCCGGTTCTCACTCACCCGCTACAAAGAACGATCAGTTTGACGCATTTGTGCGCTATACTTCTGCCGGCGTACAAGAGGCACGTTCGCAGCAAGCTGGACAATCGGCCCTGCACTGAACGTACAGTCTCCAACTGAAGAGCTTTCATCTCAGCGCTGTTCTGCACGCTACGTAATCTCGTCAATCTTATCGAGGCTGCCCACACCAGAATATCGAGAGCGATAGATTGTACGACAGGTGAACTGCAAGCATAATTATCACTGTGTGAACTCGACTACGTCCCTTAGACTCAAGTTTCCTTGAGCCTTTATCGTTCATCCCTACCACACTTACTCGAGGGATCCTTGCAGACACGCGACGCTCAGAAGGTTATCGAAAAAGGTTTTAGACTCCAACATCGCGCATCTCTGTAACCTTTCGTTCGGTATATCCGTAGGGCGTACCGATCTTACTGTAATCGAGACTTCGTGGATCCAGTTACATCCTTAAGCGAAAAATAAGCATATGTAGCTTCTTACATGCTAAGTTCAACGAGGAGCGCATATATGTATCATTTATAAGAAAAATTCTTTTTATATATATTTGGAACAGGATATTACATTAACATACTGGCCAATATTTCTTGTTCTCTTTACTGACAGACGTATGCACTCGGACTCAGCACGGTATGTTCATTTGCAAGAAGATTTGCGTTAATTAATTTTTTCCGATAAAAATGTGAGTGGACACAAAATCGTTTTTCGAATGTGTATACCGCCAAGTTCGTCTTCGAGTGTGCGCGCTTGCCAGCAAAGCGAACAGGCAATCCGTTATATTGACTTGTCGATACAACATAAAGGATATACAAAAAGAATTTCTTTTATAAATGATACATATTTTATAATGATTAATTGATAAAATTAATTAAAGAAATATTATATACATGTCATATATGTGTGTGAATACTTTCATACATTAATTTTTTTAAGTAATAAATTGGAAATTATATCTACCAACGTAACATCCCAACTTTTTACTGTTCCCACCCTCGTCAAGTCGTTCCCCAGTGCTATTGGAAGTAGATAATTGAGGTACGAGTGGACGTACTTCAAATATCCTGAGCTTTTTGCAAGTCGGTGGCTTAGTCTCGTATAGATTCGCTTTCGCCTTCGCAGATGCCTACGGAACAAAATGAAAACACACTTTTTCTCGACATCATAACTCAACGTCGTAAAGGTTAAATCAAATCTAAAAATATTACTTACAGCGTCTTTCGTCTGATCTACTAAGGCTTTGATGTGAACGAGCAATGTTCTGACTTTCGAGCGAAACAATTTTGGGCTCGTTAACGTCACGCATCCCGAGCGACATGACAGATCCATGCAACAGTGCAAGTCGATAGGACCGCACAGAATTTCGGTGTTATGCTGGCGTTGATACTCCTCTGTGGTGACCGGATTTTCATTCCTTTGGTCGCTTCCTATGTTAAAGTCTATTCTCTCGTCTACCGGAGTAGGCGACGCTTTCTGGTGGCCGATTCTTTTTATATTTTGCTTCAACAGAGTCACCTGAATGGTCGGTAATTCTTGACAGAACGAATGCAAGGTAAATCGAACGTCAACATGTCCTATACTTCCTGACGCGTTCCGAGGTAACGTTAGTTCAAACACATGCTCGTCCCACGTAGTCCTGATATTAGATGCAAAGAAAAATTCGGTTACACGATTTTATATAGAGCGTTCTTGTCGAATCAATCGTGCTTCCTCCCGATTGCGGATTCTTTCACCAAATTTGAGTGAATCTTGTTTTATCCAAATTTTGATGTCATTATCTTTCTTGTAAATTCTCAATTTTCAATATCATACATCTCAAGAAGATCAAGCAGATGACTTAACTAAAAACCTAGTGACTACTTGCCACATGATTACTTACGGCCATAGCCTGTCTTGTGTTAAGTTTAACATTTAATTAAAGCTATTATTGCAAAAACAATAAAAAAAATCCGCAGCTGAAGGAGACATGTTACAACATCCTATATGCCTGCTGAAGTATCTATTCCGCGGTAACATTACGTCGACTTACGCGTCATTCTGTAGCCGCCAAGTTCTCGTGTGATGCTGATCTTCTGATTGATGAAGGTGCTGCGGGTGACGCCTTTGTCTTTGGGCCTGCATCATTTCGCTCCAACATGGAGGGACCGTCGCGCTATACGCAGGCGAATGTCGATCGAATCTTGTGAGTTCATACAAGAGCCGCAAGTCCGAATAAGAGAAATTAGTTTTGTGCGCCAATAATTGATCGCTAAAACGTTTGAAATGTACACACGTTAAATATACATAAAAAGAACACTTCGAAGCGAGTAAGTGAATGTTAAATACTGTACAAAAACGAAATTTATCTTTATAAATGCAATATATCCTACAATAGTGCTAATAATAACGACATCCAATACTCAATAAACGATATTGCAATAATTCGTGGAAAAAAAAGATTGGAACCCTTGAAATAATTCCCGAAGACGTTCGCCGAACTTACTGGCAAGTCGATGTCGATGTGTTAGGAGCCGTATTTTCGTTGGCGCAACTTTCTTTGTCGGCCATAATCACGTCTTCAGCATCTTCCTTCTCCTCCGTGGAATCTATTTCTTCTTCCGTAAGGAAGAAATGCAGTGTCCCGTCGCTCGTGCATACACATAGCCTCTCCAAACCTAAAATCAAGTCAACGGTCTCAAAACAACAACGGACTTCCCGTCGTACATCTGCAAATATCCTGCGTGCACGAGTCAATTAGGCTCTTAACAGAATATGGCTAACTTGTAATTTTAAGACAATATTGTTTTTATACCCTAAATTTTTGTCTAAATTAACTTCCTTTGCGTTTTTTTATCATATAGTGGTTTGCTATCAATTATAAACAGAACGGCTTTTTAATTTATGACTCTGAACACAAAACAGTCATTGTGCGTTACTTAAGACAAAGACTTAATGCTTCTGGGTACTCGATGCAATTGTCCTTGTTTAATGATGTCAGAAACAAGAAAACGCATGTCAAGAATTCTTGTATTATACGTTTAAATAAAAAAATACACCTATAAAATGACATTTGTGATCGATTCATTTTTACTCAAACAATCAATAATTAGTCGCAATTATTTTTTCCCACTTGCATAAGATTTTGGAGCCATTGCCCACACAGTCACATTAAAGCTTTCGTCAAAGCATGAAGCCTCCTAAACATCTTAATAAAAGTTCGTTGTACTCAACTCTTCATAAATCGGCTTCATAGCATCAAAAACAACAGAACTCATTGATCTCTTGCTGCATCTGATATCGTATTTTTATGACTAAACTCCAACGATTTAAACAAAAAAAAAATTCGATTTTTTTCAACTTCAGAGATGGCCTAATCCCTTAAACAAGAACAGTCGCAGCGAATACTCAGTAGTCTTAATGCATAAAACGTTGTGTTAAACCGATAAGTCAGTCATTCTGTTTACTCGCATCGACTTATCTCTATAGAGAAAAACTTACTGTTGCAATACGTCGCCGAGATAAATTTCTTTCCCTCCAATCTAGCCTCCGTGACGGTTTTCAGCGTGCTCAGATTCAACAGCCTAACTACGCCGTCCTTACAGACCAGGGCGACTTGTCCGATTACGAGTTCCTGAGCGGTCGAATTGCTGGTCGGATTAACGCTAGGATTCGGAATAGTGGCAGCGTACTTTTGCTTCTCTTGCAGCGGCAGGAGTTCATGTTCAATCGGAGCCTGATCCAACGGCAGTTCCCCCTTCACCAGCGGTTCCGACGCCACTTGCACCACCGGCCCCGAAAAGTCCAATGCGTACACGAGCAACACGACGTTGGTGTTGCTCTCGTTGCCACGAGTCTCGTCGTTGATCAGTTTGCCGGACTGGGTGTCGCTGTGGTCCCAGTACATGTAACTCTTCTGCGGGAAGAAATCGCTCTCGTCGTCAACGTCCATCTGATTGGTGTGCGACGAGGAGAGTTCGGCGGAAGCGTTATCCATCGCGGGACACATCGCGACGTACAAGTGCCTGCCATCTTTAGTCGGAGATATATACGTGATACGAAGGGAATCCGGGGCATTGATGGCCAGAGTCTTAATTACAACCGGCTCGGCCTTAGTGATCTTCATAAGGTCTAAGCTCTTCTTGTTCATCGTTGTCAAGTTGGATGTCGATGCGAAGTGAGCCGAGCTGTTGATAGGATTAAAATTGGAATCGTACGGAGTCGACGTGGTCGGCGCGGTGATGCTGATGGAAGTGGAGTAAATGCCGTTGGAGGACGAGGCGGTTAAATCGATGGTCGGGAAGATGCCGTCGTAATGCGGTCCGACCACCATTTCCGAGTCTACGTCTTCGATAACTGGCACTTCGTATAAAAATTTACCGAGGAAGAGCTCCTGGTACAAGCTTTCTTGGCGACCCCCGTTCGAGCTGGCGCTGGTACCCGTACCGGAAAGAGTCTTCTTCGTCTTGGATTCCTTAGTGTTGTCTTCCTTAATGGGCTGTGCCGTCGCGGTTTTATGATGAAAGTCGTACAATACTAAGTAATGCAATCTCGACGGCACGCACCTGTCACCCGCTACCTTCATTATGTCTAGAGTATCACTAGCGGCACTATTTACACTGTTCATCGCGCGAACCAGCGATGATGAGCTCGCCAGATCGGTCGATGCGGCCCACACATTCTCTAAGGTCCGTAATTGCGAAGGATTATTAACTGTCACTGTAACCCCGCACACTAAGCATGGTCGTATTTTATAGTCCGACGTCTCGGCATTTATGGACGACGTCGTGGAACTAGTGGTGCTCTTCGCGTCCTCCCTCGGGGCTATCGAAGACCCTACCACCGACAGGGCCGTAACCTGTACTTTGTAAAAGGACGAAGATTTATATTCCGAGAGCGGTGCAGTGTCCGAGCTTAGATTCGTTAAATACGAAGTCGTCATATTCCTCGTAGCGCAGAACTGTATTGATTCCTTATTGTTCACCTCCTGATCCGAGAGAGAGATATAAAATGACACTTCTCTCTGGAAAAGAAAAAAAGGCGAATAAAGTATCAAGCAAGGTGAGGAAACTTTGGAGGATTTTCAGTCATCGCACTCTTCAACATCCTGGTGAAAAATCTCGCGCGCGCTTACCTTCAACTGATTCGTTATATTCCAGATATTTATAAAACCGTTGGAAGAGGCTGTAGCCGCAAGGCCCGTGACATTTGTAGTACCTATGACGTCCACCGTATCGCCCACCTCGCGAGCGGGGGCGGTCGCGAGGGTGACGGACAGCGGAACGTTCTGCGTATATTCGCCTTTAACGAATGGACACGCGGGCGAATGCCTCTCGTGCTCCGACCACGGTTCGTCCGTAGGTTCCCAACATACAAGGCAGACGTTACAAGTGAAACACATCGCTCTGTCGTCCCCGGTAGCATTTGGTTCGTGATAGAAACCAGCCTGCGCCATTTGGTCGGGTAAAGCCCATCTGGAATGTGTTTCATTGCACTTTAATCAGTTGAAATATCTTTATTTCTTGCCTATCGCCTAATATAATTTTTATATAGCTCTCCAATATGTCATTTTCTATGTTGGATTAAATATAATTTTCTCGATGGTAGAGATACAGTATCATAACACAGTACGTACTTGTAATTCATATGTGGCCATTTTGGAAAAGTATCACGACGCGCTGCTTCGCTAAACATTAGCGCTCTATCAGCGGGACCACCTTCTAACGCAAGGCCAGGCAATAGGCCATTCAGTCGTTCATTGATCGCAGAAGCAATGGGCAATGCTGGTATGTGCCGATTTTGTCTCTTTAATTCCATCACTAAGCCGGAACACACGAGCTTCAAAGATCCATGCGACAGTTCCAAGCATATCGTATTCCACTGTGAGCAAAATTTCTATTATTTTTGTACGTGATATCCGACATCATGTAACACATTCATATAACACCTTCTTTTTATCCGTATACAGGCAACATATATATTTTTGTAAAATAAAAACTCGTAGCTGATATTAAATAGTCAATATTGCAACATTCGCACAATAATAGTTAATTGGCAAACTTAGAGTTAAATATTTCCCAGTAAATATATTAGTATATATAAAATGTACATATAAAAAATAATTTGAATGTTTAATTTTAAGATGTACCAGAGAAAAGTTGAATAAGAATTATTTTCCTTCCGAGTTTTCAAAACACTCGTTTGTTATAATTTAGAAAAATATGTTAGTTTTAAAACATCATTTGCATTGAATGTTATATAAAATATTTAGACAGATTAATCTGATGAATTGTGCGTACTTACTTTTTGAGCTTTAATACCTCTCAACTGGTTCATTTGCGCCGCCACAACTTTACTCGAAAGTTCTTGCAGTACTTCCACCAGATGTTCTACTCCTGGTAATTCTACACACTGAAGACATTGAAGTAATAACGTAGCCTCTGATAGCAGTAGTTCTAACTTCACTACATCTTCGCTCTTAGAAACTGGGGTTTGCAAAATAGTATCTAACAAAAGGACCCCATTGTAATCGCTGCGTATACCAATCCCCCGTCCATCTGTATACAGCACTTTATCTATTCCATTGGGTAGATATACTCCCTGCAGTTTCCCATTTGGTTTACCTATGACAACCACCATTATAATATAGTTATTGCCATTACGATTTTTTAAAGTTGTAAAGTATTAAGTCTACGATTTATCTGAATATCCTTAATAACAACAAAAGTGGCTTATAAATATATCATTTGCATACTTATTTTATTAAAAGTGAATTATAATACCGACATTTTGGACAAATTTCTATCACAATCTTGGAAGATTTATGTAAAGCTTATATGTATATAAAAGTCCTAATTCTAACAAATGCAAAAAGTTTTTGCACCTTTAGTTTTCAATGATATTCTAAAGAAATATCATCATTGATGCAATTGTATAGAACAAAGGACATCATTAGCAGAAAAATATCATCTGGGGAAAAATTAAGTCAATGCGAATACAATGAAACAGAATGTAAAAACAGTATTTAGATGAGAGCAATAGGGATTGTTATAGTTGGAATATTACATCATATTATCCATGTAACTAGCGTTAGATAACAATCCATTCCTTTTCTTTCTTTCAACTGCACCATATTACACTTTCTACTCCATCAAACATACAATGAACCCAAGACAAAAGAAGGGAGAAAAATTGTGAATACAGAAGGTGTAATCAAAGGAAACTGACATCAATGTCGAGCTTAAATCAGTATGAAGGATTGCAAACAATGAGCCAGTGTGTTTTTTCTCTGGATCGAACATTTTTGCCCTTTCTTTCAGTATCTCTACTTCCTCATTCTCTCTCTCTGTATGTTTGTCTGGATGTATACCTCTTCCATCTTGGGTGCAGAAAGTGTAATATAATACGGTTGGAAAGGGGCGGCCGGAGGCAGTTTCCTGGCGGATTTTTTCAGCGGAAAGTTAATGTTTTCACGCGGAGGACAGGTCATCGCGAGACAGTTTGGACACGCCTGACGTACGGAAAACGTACGGCGACCTTGACCATGAAGCAGTATTGCACAGTATTCCGCAAACGTTGGAACACTCGCGACAGGTCGTAACGACCTGTAGGTTCTCTTCCGGGGTCATCGCTCGTCAGCAAAAATCGATCTACGACGAGCTACATGCTCACCGGATAGAGTACTTCTTTGCAGGATCACGCCGGAATTGACATCGAATACGTATACTTGTGCGCTGCCAGTGGTGATGAGTAGAACATTTAAATTGGCGTGATAGATAATGCTCTTGCACTCAGTGTCCACGTTCAAGCAACCGTCCTCTTTCAGTAGCCACGGATCATCATCAGCCATTTTGCTCATGCGAATCAGAATACCGAAAAATCTTCCTAACGCTCGAACATCACGAAAAACATGGCGCACTCGTCATCGCCATCTTTGAGTAGAACGTCAGCACATCGCTCTGAATGTAGCCGACAGTCATCTCTCCCACCCGATCCCGATAACGGAGGATCCACATTACGTCCGACGTTCGACAGGAACATTCGGCCCAATGAGAGAACTTGTGCCCTAGAAACAAAATGTCGTCGAATAAGATTATCAGGAAGCGAGGTCTTCTATTGGATAGCGCGAGATCAGAGACAATATGAGTTTAGCTTTGCGACGAACACATCTTGACGCTCGAGACGCGATTCGAGAGAAACAGCTTCAAGCGGTAGCACGGGCTCTACGTGCTACCCAATAAGAAGGTTCATCTTTTGTCCTTTGCAAAAACCAAGTAAACATATTTGCTCGTTTTCAGCACGTTTCTTTACTTCGACATGACGACCTCGTGATTCCCGATACTAATTTTCACAGGAATTTCACGCTTTCGCCTTGTCAATTTGATTTATTGATTTAAAAATGGCTTCTCACATGTTACGTATCTGCGGGATTGTGACAAATTCGCTGAGAAATAGTCAAACTATCAATAACGGTACGACGAATGAAAGATATTATCACCTGCAAATCATTATATGATTGATATGTGTCTAATCTAATTTATATTAATTTTTTCCAACCTAACATTCACATATTCACTGAGCAAGGTTATGAATTTCTTTCAGGTACATGTAACTTACTGTCTATCAGTTGTTCATATTTGTTAAAAACACATGTTCCTTTAGTACACGAAGTGAAAAATATTACGTTTTTCACGAGAAGTGAGTAAAATTATTATTGAAACAATACTTCAAAACATTTGTAATGGAAAATTTGTATTTCTAACCAGTATCTTTTCCTTGTAGAAACTGGGGATGAACTGTGGAAAGGTGTTACAAGTGTTAGTAATGCAGGAAAACGTAGAGGCAGAGCGAAAGGTTTAGCAAGAAAAAGAAACTTGAACATAGGTCAGGTTATCGGTGTAGGAAAAATTCCAATACAATTTCCTGGCCTAAATACTCCTATATTCAGAGGAAGAGAGCTAATTCAACAGCAGAAACTACCAGAAGATCCTGAAAGGGCTGAAAAGCTGGCAAAGCTACGTCAGATTCAAACTAAGCCAAAACGGGTGAAACTTTCTCCATTGGAACGTGGTTGGTCAGGTGGTTCGATAGCTGGCAGAAAAATAGGACCACCTGATCCTGTTGGAGAAGGTCACTAACTCTGACAATACTTTATTATAGTCAACTTCTGAAACTATTTCACATGACACATCAATGACTTTTGCCTTGATGCTTCAATAGTAGTGACAAATTACATTTATATTAATAATCATTAATAATCAACAACTTTCGGGTTTATTCTTCAGATATTTTTGAAGGCTTCGAAACTTGGATTTTGGAAAGTAAAATAGTGAATTGTATGACTGGTAACTTAGGGCGTAAAACTCGCATCAGTATATTTCTTGTGACAGGAAATGGGAATGGATTAGCTGGCTTTGCAGTGGCAAAAGCACCTATGAGTAAACCAGCCATAAAAACAGCCAAAAATAGAGCAGGCCAAAAACTGATGTATATTCCTAGATATAAAGAACACACTGGTAAAGAATATATATACACGTAATTTCATTGCATAAACATTATATTTTTTTTAGTTTTTAAGTGGTATTAAGTTTAAGTTTTATGTCTCTTTACATATTTCAGTGCTACATGACTTCTACACGCAGTTTGGAAGTACAAAGATATTTGTAAAGAAAATGTACGAAGGATATGGGCTTGTTTGTCATCGTGCAATAAAAGTGTGTTGCGAGGCAATTGGCATAAAGGATCTATATGCCAAAGTAGAAGGATCTACGAATTTGCAACATATTATAAAGGCTTTTTTCATCGGTTTGTTGCAACAGGTATGTATTTGTAGGATGATCTAATAATGTATTGTATATCTCTTCTTGATATTATTTATATGTAGATATGGAATAAAAATATAAGAATACTTTAAGATGACACTAACCTCTATGAGTTAGAATAATTGAAACTTTACAACTTACTAACTCATTGAATAAAAATGATAAGGATGCAAACCAATAAAATGTTACTCTGAATATATTACTATTTTAAGTTGTATATGGACAACATTTTATAATTGGCATGTTGTATTAAAATACTCAGTATTAAAACTTCCTTTTTTACAATACAAAACGAGTCAATATCCAAATTAAATGAAAATATTTGCAGAAATCGCATCAACAAATGGCAGATGAAAAACGTTTGCACCTGGTCGAGTTTAGATCGGAAAACTGTAATTATCCCATAGTGATCGCTTCACCGTCGATTGTTAGAAAATCAGAGGAAATACCATCGAGCGAGATTCTCGATTTTGATCAATATGTAATGGGTGGCAGAATAGTATTAAAGAAAAAGAAACGTGAGCCGTTTTATACCAGATTAAACTCTTGGATATTAAAGTTGAGAAAAATGGAGCGCGTAAGAAATCATAACGATACGAGGATAAGATTAAAGGCAGAGTATGGAGAAATACAGAGTTTTCTGACCGAAAAGTATCCAGAAGCAACATTTTCAAAGAAGAAATCAAGTAAAGTTGACGAGACAGTAGAGTAAAGAATGTATAATTGTTACACACTAATGTATAAATGTTTGAAAATAAAACATTTGTCATTAAAATATTTAGTGTTTGATGTTAAAAGAGAGATAAGTTCCAAAAATAAGTGCAATGACAAAGTTGTATTAATTGAAAAAAATTACAGGAAATTATTGGAATTAAAATTCCTATTACTTAAAAAATAAAAATCCGTCTACAACAGGACGATTCGATTTTTTCAAGGCAAAATAGAAATTATAATTAAAAGTTTTGATTAATTTTCATTTACCCGCAATATTTCGCAACAATTTGATTATATTTTTTCTTTAGTTCATTCAACAATTATATTGAATTTTCGATTTTCCTCTTCGCATGATAATGCTGAGTTCGTAGACGTTCAATGATTTTTTTTTTCTGCAACAATTTTTTTCAGCATTTTAACTAACTGTTCCACTTCCTCTATAACCTTATAAACATTTAATAAACGACACTTTAGTTCTCGCATTCCTCATTTGGTGGCGCGACATACCTTGGCTATAAGTCTGAAGTTAACTATTGGCAGTCTATATTTCTATAGTCAAAGCAATCAATGGTGAAAATTAAGCAATAAACTCGTGTACTGGAGTTCCTACATATGTATAAGCAATGACATGGGCTTCAGGGGACGCGTTATTAGCATTCTTCTTTATTTTATCGCACAAACAACAGTCTGTTCTTTTCGGCTGAGCTGCCTGTACTAATATTATTTCCCTTTTCTATACGAAATCTACAGCTGTGTGAACTTCCATTAATTGTAAAATAAGCGTTTTACTAAACGTGGTCGAGGACCGAATGTCGCAATAGTGTTGACTATGTGCTCCTCGAACACAACCATGACACAATTAAACGGGGTTACCAATGAAAATTTAAGGCGTAAGACTCTAAAATGCGTAAACTAAATTCGTGAAAATTCGCTTAGCTCACTTTTACAATAAAAGTATAATTTTAATTACTCTTCATAAAAGACTCTGCCTATATGTTTTGTGTCGATAAAGTAGGACACATAGAGAGATTAATAAGGATACTTTATTCATAAACAAAATGACGAAATATGAAAAACAACTGGAGAGAACGAGCGTACAGAATGTTTTTATTACCTCGCTTATTGTAAGTAAGATAGTGTTTAGTCCTTTAAATGATAGTCCTTAATAGATAGTGTTATTTTATAAATAATGTGTATGAATATAAAATGTTAAAATGAAATGTTAAAATGAATACAATAAAATTTTATACTTTTACATTAACATACTTGAATAATGTTTATTTAGGCAGGAGGTGCTGCAGGAACGTTTGTTGATATTACACTATATCCACTGGATACATTGAAAACCCGATTGCAGAGTAAACAAGGATTTCTTAAAACTGGAGGATTCACAAATCTTTACAAAGGAATTTATCCAGTTATAATTGGCTCAGCACCAACTGGTAGTGGATAATGTCTAATATTTGACAATCTAAAGTTTTAAATATTATATATATGAATAATTTGATAATATGAATAATTTACATATAATATATTATATGTTTTAGCTGCATTATTTTTTTTAACATACGAAGAAATTAAAACTCTTATGCAACCCAGGATTTCCAAAAAGTATCGTACTTCACTTCACATTGGAGCAGCAGCATCAGCAGAAATGGTACTAAATTTAATAATTCATTATTTTTATCTTAATAATTATAACACTTAAATAAGATAAACAACAATTAATTACTTAATAAGATAACAAAAATTAATTACTTCATAGCTGGATATGTACAAGATTCTAAAGAAGTATTAATCTAAAGTCTCTCTATTATTTCATATGTTAAATACTATTTTAATCTGATAATTCAAGGAACATTTGTTTTTAATAGGCATTAAATTACATATTTATAATAACTGTATTATTTTATATATAAAGGTAGCATGCTTAATACGAGTCCCAGTAGAAGTCCTGAAGCAAAGGAAACAAGCACAAATATTAGACAAAAAATTCCTTGGTTTGAAATTATTGTATCGTGGATATTGGAGCACAGTATTGCGAGACGCACCTTTTAGTATCGTACAGTTTCCATTGTGGGAATATCTGAAAATATCCTATAGTTCCTATATTGAAAGAGAAATATATCCTTCGGAAAGTGCAATCTGCGGTGCAATTTCAGGTTTTATACATTGAAAAAATTATTATACAAGAGTATAATTAATATTAAATATAATCTTGTATAAATGTATTATTATTGGGGATAATTTTAGGAGGCATCTCTGCGGCCGTTACAACTCCATTGGATGTTGCAAAAACGAGGATAATGTTGTCCAGTAAAACATTGCTTTCAACAGAATTAACAATATCAAATGTACTTTATCAGATATATGCAGAAAATGGTTTTCGAGGGTAAATATCTCTGGTTACTTCTTCGTTTTATAAATGAAATTAAATATTTTTATATACATTCCATTCATTGGAACATCACAGACTGTTTGCTGGTTTTGGGCCCAGAGTAATGTGGATTACATTAGGAGGTTTTATATTCTTTGGAGTCTATGAGGAAGCAAAAGTATTTACACAAGTAATATTTCCAATGCTGAAATAAATTATATGAGCTTAGTATGGAAAGGCGAGATACTTTGCAACAAATATGTATATATATATATATATATATATATTAATAAATTTATAAAAATATAGTTTATACTGTTTACAAAACTTGTACAGTTATTTATATCATGTACAAAAATCTTGTAAGACAAAAATACTTTCATTAGTAATATTAAAATATAAACAATTCAGTCTAATATTGATGTAACAAACATTAATTCACAGTAATTCACATTCATTTGCATCGCTTTCTTGAACATTTAATAACACTTTACAACTAGTGTCACATATGTGACAGTGATAATTTTTCTTTTTCTATACTTGTTTACATAAACAAAGTCTATTCTCTACGCAATTACGTAAGAGAAAATACAAAATTGTCTATGAAGAGAGTTTCACAAACTCTTCATAATTTTGTCTCCTTATTCTGTAACTTGTAACAAANTATTTTGTAATACATTTTATCTACACAAGGTATGTAATGTATATCTTAATAATTATAGAATAAGAACTTTGCTAGTCGCAAGTGTAAAAGTGTTATTTTGAATCGATATTTGATTAAAAACAATCTTTTTAAACATTCGCAAAATGCCAATTTTTTGCTAACATCTATTTAAACGAAATATTTATTGAATTACTTATCGATTTCATATTAGCTAAAAAAGTAATGCGAAACATCATGCCATTTTTCTTTCTTACAAATAGCAAATATTGCACATATTTATGTGCGTATAAAATATATTTATAGTTTCTTTTTGGAGAAGATTGTTATATTTTGTATTCTGTAATATATCAAAATATATAATAGAATATATATTATTCATGATCTTCCAAAACAACTCGCATATCACATACTTCAAGTTTACAATTTAGATTTTAGACTGCTCATCAGTTTCTCCAGTTTCATTGCTTTCTGTAAGTTTCCGCTAATTTTCAACTTACCTGACATAAAAGCAGCAGTAGGCTTTAGTTTACCTGTACATAAACAAGTTCAAGGACATTATATAATTGAGATATCAACAAAAATAATTGTGCAAAAATAAACAAACAAAACTAACATCAAAAGACTCATTTGCACTCACCTGAAAACATGGCAAAAAAATTTTGTGAATCCATTGTAAGTGTTGCATCTGCTGGTTGACTCGGTTCTCCTTTCCCAGTAGCACCTTTTCCATTTTTCAAATCGATGAACCACACGCCAGCTTCATCTCCTGAAGAAATAAATATACATAATTAATATATAAAAATATACTTAAACATAAGTATATTTAAACGTAGAAATGATAATACTTCTCAACTAATAAACGATTACAGACCAATTGTAGTGACTAAAGTTCATTTGCTTAAACACAGAAGATTAAATTACCTTTGACATTGAATTTAAATATAGCGCCAGTTTTGCTGACCAATTCAGTACTTAAATTGGCATTAATGGCACTAAATATACCTTCTACCTTTCCAGTCCCACTTCTCGTTTCGTCGGAGATTTGCGGATTAAATTTATTTTGGATAACTGAAATGTTATCTTCTATGAAAAAGTCCACCATTAAATTATCTTTATTTTCTGAAAAAGCCAAAATGTTAATCATAAAAAATGTCATCATAATCAATAATCCTTGATTAAGTCGAGAAACATGGAAAGTGATACTACCTGGGTTACAGGCATAGTTTGTAAAATCTGTAATGCCCTCGCCTTTCAGTATATCTTCGTCGATTAAAAACTGCCCAGTAACAATCTTGCTATCTTTGCAAAGCAATGCATAAACAGCATCTGCCATGATCTCAGGTTTACGGCTGAAATTACTCGATTCTGGGCCTGATAACATCTCGATTGCAGCAGTATGTATGGCTACAAACAGTATCATTTCATTAAAACCATATGCTGCTTTAAAACGATATAGTTTCGTATCGCAAAGCAAGAATCAAAATACAATTTGCGTCATGCTTAATAAAACACCAGACAACAATAATGCACCTGTCTTTGGCCAAACAGCATTTACTGCGATTCCGTTTGGTTTAAGTTCGTCTGCCATTCCAAGAACGCACATTGACATTCCATATTTTGCTATTGTGTATGCGACATTATTCTTGAACCAAATTGGCTTCATGCTCAGTGGGGGACTTATGTTGACTATATGCGGATTCGTGCTTTTCATCAAATATGGTATACAAACTTTCGATCTAAAACATAATTTCATTGATTCGTAATCTGTAACATAAATTTCAGGATAAACATTCACGCACGATCATTTTAATAAATCATTTAGTTATTAACCCCTTGACATACAAATAAAACGGAATTTGATGCGTCCAAAAAATACTATTTAATTTTGCTCAATGAACAGTTATGTGCAAGCTTGTGAAACAATTGAATAATCACAAGTGAAATAATTGAATAATCTAATAATATACTGCACGGCGTCACCGGAGACAGACTTCTTGATGTCTCGGAAACGTCAAAGTCTACAATGGTACATGAAATGAATGATGTCTCCCAGACGTCATTGTATGTCAAGGGGTTAAATCTATCACTCAGACAATTGTATTATGTTAATTACTTAAACGTAAAAAATATGTTAGCATGATAGAAAAAAAGAACTTACACAAGGAAGGTTCCTCTAGTGTTGATATTGTTCATCAAATCATATCTTTTCATTTCAGTTGCAAGAGTACCTGTTAGAGAAATAGCACTCGCATTGTTCACAAGAATATCTATACCACCGAATTTGTCAACTGCACTTTTCACTGCGTTAATTACCTGTGTCTCATCACGCACATCTACAATGCAAGGCAGAGCCTTACCACCAGCTGCTTCAACTAAAACATATTTTCAACAATAAATTTCTAGATTCAAAACATTTTAAATGGTGAATTTAATCTGCGTTTATCATACAAATATAAAATTGCAAGCAATTCAGTCTCATGTTGTACACAATTAAATACAATAATATCTTAATATCAATAATATCTTATTAAATAATAATAATATGAACTAATATGATCAAGGTTCAAGCAATAAAATCCTAAGCATAATTATGTAATACAATTTATGTTACATGCAAATTACTGACATTCATATGTGTAAAGTTTTATTTTTTATACAGTAAATATCCTGATCGATGTTATTATTATATAAAACTAAAAATATTATGTAAGGACTAAAAGGAATATAAAAATAAATATCATAAAGATGTATGACTTTTCCAAACATTTTTTTAACACATTGGTACTAGCACTATGTATCTCAATCTGTATATCTTGATTAAAGAAAGCATAAAAAACTACAAGTCATAAGTTCAATGATATCAGTGATAAACTAATGCATCTTTGCAAAATCATATTTATAACTTCATTTAAATCTCTATTTATTGTACTTGCATAACATCCTAAATAAGTCATATGTGTATGTGTGTATACATAGATAATTAGATATGTTGATATCATAGCATCGACCATTAGCATTCACAATATATTCAAAATTGATATTATTTTTAATAGCTATTTCTACAAATTTATGTGATAAATAAAACTTTAAATTCATTCAGAATAATTACTTTCGCTGGCTGCTGTATAAATAGTACCCGGTAGCTTTGGATGTTGCTCAGCAGTTTTAGCAGCAATAATAATATTTGCACCATCCTTTGCCGCTTTTAAAGCTATACTTTTGCCAATGCCTCTGGAAGCGCCAGTAATAAAAATAGTGCGACCTGCCAGCTTCCTGCATCAAACATTGATGATAATTAGTATTATTCTCTTATTATTAACTAAGTTGACAATTAAATTAAGAAATTCAAACATGAAATTAATATAATTGAATATATTATAAAAATATAAATTAATGACACAAAAAATAACACTAAATTAATATTAAAGTATATAGTTATAAATTAATATACTTAAAACAAAATTTGATGAATCATGCAGAATGACGTATATTTGGTTATAGAGCTATAATTTAATGCCAATGAAGTATTACTAAAGAAGTACGTACCCTGTGTTAATCATCTTTAATATACTTTGAAATATGTTAACGTGTTAAACGTTTTATACGATGATCACTATCAAATACTTTGCGACAAAGTACGTGAAGAACTGTAACGAACTTTCTCGAGCATGTAAACTATATATATATACATATATACTGAAAGTATATATATATATACTGAAAGATGTCGTAATATCTTTCTGTTTAATAGTACTTTGAACTCTCAATCCCCACCTTACAAACTCCGAGATATCTTAAGCACCTAGTATACAACTGCATACTTGGATCACGGACTATAGAATCAATCGCAGTCTACAGTGGCATTAAAGAGATCATATATATAATACTACTATATGGTTAAAGCGTAAGATTTTGATCACACTCGAATTATAAAAAGAGAAGCCAATTATGATTGACCAATTTCTTAAATCTTGCGATTTAAATTCTTATTGTAAACCCCGCATATATGTAATACTACTGTGTGGCTACGCAGCAGTATTCCTATAAAGCGAGAGAATCCGGCATTGAAGGATAGAAGATGGACATTTATTGGCTATATAAAAAAGAGTGGGAGAAGTGTCCCATAATCGTTAATGCGCAAATGTGGCAACAAAATATAAACAGATTTATTAAAAGAACTGAGCAATTGATAATTAATAAGAAAAATAATTATTTTTATTATTGCGACAGAATCCTCGCATTATACGAACAGATGGTGAACATAAGCTTGCAAAATTTACGTGGTTAGTTTTCAATATACGTTCTGTGCGTAGAAGCCCTAATTCGCGTAGGCGGCGCGCACAACATATCGAACTTCGAGAAATCTACTACCGCAATATCGCAGTCGATTCTCGATCTTATCGTGGCATTCGAAAGCGAATTCGAAAAGCCGCTCCGTAATTTCTGCGACTCGGCCTGTGGATCAGTCTCGAGTGAACGAATCGCCGTCATCGGGAGCTCCGGGAACAACGATCACATATTCATTATAACGGTATCGTATTGAAAAGCCGCCGAATACTTCGCGCGAGCGCCGAGTGAAATTACGCGCGTTCGTCGTGCAGCCAGCCATATTGAACAAATCATTTATAAATGGCGGCGTGACAGTTCGGAGGTTCGGAATACCGATCCGTATTTTCAGCTATTTCGCTACGAGTGAGCGCGAATCGTCGTCGCCGGAAGCACCGAGACAGCAGATTCTCGCGTTCCTTGATCGATAAAACGTCGTCGAAAGTGAATATTTCGCGAAATGGCACGTTAACGAGAGAGAGATTTCGCGCGTTCACCCGACACGTCGGAGTTCAAATCATAGCGCTTTGCCGAAACTAATGCGTTCCGCGCATTTGTCGCGACGAAATATCGCAGGATAGCTGATAATGGACACTTCATCGGAAGACAGTCTGTCAAGGATGCCAAAATATTACGCAGCTGTGTTATGGCAGTCGGAGCCAAAATCGTCGTGTCCTCCGTGCTTTTGATTCGTTGAAGAAAGAAAACGGTAAGTGCTGTTGGAACAGAAGCAGTGCAATAAATAACGCAACCGTGGCTATATTTTTTACAAATCAATGGTTTTTAATAGCTCCTAGCCGGCGCTGCTTGGATATGTGCAAAGTATATACTATATTATATTATTGTTATCGAACACAAGCGGCGTGTACGTTTCAAAAATATCACATATCTAGCCAAATAGTCTAGGATTATATAGAACCGAAGGTTTCTCTATAATAGTACATTATCGATAATTATATGCTAACGATATACAAACTCTAATAGCACACTTTATTGACGTTACATTTGGTCTGTTTTTTTTTAGTTGCATTGGTGCAATAAGTTAGAGTGAGGCAAGTATATTTCATCCCGCTCTTACTTATTGTACCAGTGTTAACAGTGCAACTAAAAAGAACAGACCAACCAATTGACTCAATATTAGCCAATGTTAAGCCAATGTAACACCAATGAAGCTTTATTAGGAAAGTACATGAAATATTGTATTATAAATATGTCGAGCGCAAGCCGTTAAAAACATCATGTATTTAGTAAAATATTCTATTAACTTTGCACAGATTAATACAAGAATTTATTCACAATATACAACGTTGTTCCAATTGTAACGCAGTAGAACTTCGATGTGATGTGACATCTTCTTCGCTGCATCCCTTCCGATGTATATGCCTTCGTTTATTATAGTTTTCCGTCCCTTCCATGTCACGATACTGCAATACAATATAACTTGGACTGGTGACAACGCAATCGCGAGTGAAGGAATCGTTTATCAAGACAGATTTGCATAACTACATAGTAACATATATACGCGTGAAAAAATCGACTAATAGTGTATCTAAAGGCCATTATACGTGGAAAGTTGTAGTCGTAACCGTAAAGCTGATTTTGTGAAGTGCATTGTATTTTTTTACCTTAGTATTCTTCATCAGTGAGTACATGTCGATTAATTTTTCCGTAAGACATTCTGTATCGCGTCTTTCGCTTTTTGAACGCCGAGACGGAACTGCCCGAATTCCGGTCGGATCCTCATTCCGCGATAATAATACACTAGACTCATCTCAAAATCACCCAGATGATAAAGCGCCTCCGCTTTGCAGTATACCGCTTTGGCGTTGCTGGAATCCTTAGGATTTAGCCGCAACGCTGCTTCGGCATCGTCTAGCGCTTTTTGCGGTTCGCCTAACAAAAGGTGACACTTGCTTCGTGCTACCAACGCGTTCTTCTCATTGGGATTCAACTCCAGTGCCTGCCGAATAAATTCTTACGTCACTATAGCGTGTAGTGGATTGGAACAATTGGAACAACGTTGTATATTGTGAATAAATCCTTGTATTAATCTGTGCAAAGTTAATAGAATATTTTACTAAACTGTCAGAATGTCTTCGTTAAGTTCGTTTCACATAAGGTACTTAGAATGAAAAGATAATTATTGTATCTTTGAGAACGTTTTTTTGTTAATAATTCATTTTGGCTTGGTGGATAAAGAAAAATTATGGAATAAATAAACACGGACAATCGATTCTACTACGAAATTTGAAGAAAACACAGTCAGTTGTACTTATATCGGTTATTTCGGCACGTTTTTTGATCGAAACCTGACAAAAACTTGATTTAAAAAAATATCATATTTTTTCGCTTTATGAACATTGTGTCGTTGGAGTCATTGTTACTTTCTATTTTCTTCGAATCTTTTGTTTGGTCATTAAAGAAACTAGTTATTGAACATTATTATTTGTGCGATCAAATTTTTTTTAGATTACTCCAATAGAGTAAAAAAATGCGAGAAAAGTGTTTTTAAAAACGAGGAAAAATGAAATATTTTTTAATAAGTGAAGAAAAATGAAAAAAGTTAGTCGTTTTCATGCCTGCAAATCAAAATTGAGAGTACGTTGTTCCATGAAAATTAAAAAAAAAAAACAGAAGTAAGCGTTACATTACTGCCTGGCAACTAGTTGTGATTTTTCATCATCATAACTATAATTTCTTTTGTTTAACCATCAGCCAACTTATTTATCTAGGCATTATCTAGCCACTAGGAGATGTGAACGTTACATTACTGGCAAGTGCCCGATGACATCATCCACGTGCAATCGATGTGGAATCCACATAAAGAAGTCGATTCCACGTCATTTCCACGGATGTTCTCATGGGGTAACGACTTTAGATACAAATTTGCTACCTCACGGTGTTAGACACCCACGAGAGGTGTTACCATCTACTCGACTGCCCTTTCGGCCAATTATACCTAAACGAATCATCAGAGCTCGTGCGACTAAAAGTGAGCGCGTGAACCTTGTTAATGCAATTAATAGCGACGTTAACATCGCCGAAACGCATCTCGCGTAAGCCGAGCGTTAGCAGCGCGCCAGGCTCGGTCTCCTCCGGTATTTGCAGATTTCTGCTGCGGTCCTGGCGTTGCTTCATCTTCAGAGATTGCTTGATGTCCGTGCTGCCCATGTTCACGGCGGCGGCGCGATCCTTGTCGGTGTACACCTCCTCTTGCCGATGGCAATCGTCTTGTTGGCGTCACTTTCTCCGCGTCTTCTGAATCCTTATCTCTGACTCTATGGTGACGATGTCGAGCCTCTCCTTTTCCTTCCTGTCGTTGCCCTTTTTCCTCTTGTCATGAGCATTGCGAGCGTGACTTTTGCGAGCGTTGTCGTTGCCACCGTCGGCCAGAGTCGCGTATTTGCCCGGATGCGTATCCTTGCTCGGCTCCTCGAACTCCTCGTGATCCTTCTTTGAATCGGAGCCGGTTTCCGTGCGTATTCGCACGTAACTCTGCAGCAGATCATGGTGATGGAGCATGGGATTCAAGATGTCCATAACGTGGTGTTCGACCGTCGCGCTGGTATGCGCCTCGTCCTTAGCGGTTGTTGCCTGCGGTGTCTCGTCCATTTTCAGCCTTCGCTTTTATCAATGTCGCAATTCGATCGAATTGGAATACCTCGCGTTTACCTTACACAAACGGAACTTCACCGGCTTTTGCTTGGCGAGCTAAGTGACAAGGTAGTCTCCTTTTCACGTCACCACTCGCCGCGCGAGATTCGCAAGAATCGAAGAATTTTCACGGTAGAGGAATCCCGAGTGACAAGTATTTCTTCGTACGTGCTAAGATACGTGTGGTTGTCGACACCTAGACGGCTCGTCTCCTTAGAAACGGGTAACAATGGCCCGATTCTCAGCATCGGTCAAATAAGGCAAATACCTGCTCCCGAAATATCAGGAAATGCATGCATAATCGCACATTACACTTTAGTTTCGACTCTTTCGGGAGATACAATTTTGCACCATGAAACGCGTAGTCTTTTCGGGCCTGAGATTAATAATTCAAGTATTGAATTGAGGATCCCGATAAGTCCTTGAGTATTCGCCAAGAAAATTTGAATCGAGCGAAAGCCCGCCCCGAAAGAGTCGAAGCGCGCAATTCGTTATTTTCTGTGCAATAATCGATTATTCGATAAAATAAAGGTTTTATATTTCGCGCGTTTTCCATTATATCACATTGCAGTATTAAAAAAATCTTTTATAAGATGTTCATTATATGGCACTCTCTCTTTTTCATTTTTTTTGTGCACATATGCGCCCTTCTCCAACCTCCTCCTGTTTCGTTAGAAGTACGATATGAATGTTTGAAAGACGTTCTTTAAGAACATTTTGTCGCATAGGTCTGAGTGATTGCCACACGCACATGTAATTAAATATTATATACGTAGTAGCAACTCTTTTTTATGTTTTCCTCGTGACTTTAAGCAAAATAAATTTCTAAAATATGTCTTAAAAACATCTAGAAAAAACGTTAAATTTTTAGGCGTCTTTAAAAGATCTTTTAGAAATTTGTTCTGCCAGAGATAATAAGTCCATATCGGAGAACGATTGTTCGAATATCTCGCTATCGTTGTAGAAATGTATCGTGGCGAAACTTACTTGATTGTACAATGATATGGCTTTGTTGTAATTCCCATTCTTCATATGGACAGTCGCTTCGTTTACCAGCAGCGCGTTTCGTACAACAATGGAAGTTCGCCTTATTCGTTGCGTTGATTTTCGTTTCATGGTACACCATATCATTTTGATATCTATGACATCTGTTGAAATGTGAAAATACAAAAACGATTGGAAAATTTCATTTTCAAACATTAACGCATGAATTAGATTTTTAAAACGCCAATTGCTCTGAGAAGAAAATTAATTCAGTCCTCGAAAAAAGATTAGAGAGCAATTCAACAATTTTACATTCACGTTGGAATTCAGGAGAAATCGGGAATTTCTGCGAAATCAATTTATTCTTGAATTTTACATCTCGTCAGAAAAGCGCGGCAGAATGCATACTTACGATTACGTGACGTCGCTTATAGACTTATAGAATTACGGAGAAGTGTTCGACTTGATCGGCAGCAATTACTCGTGCCTCTTCGTTCGACTGAGAACTCAGGAAAGCGGCCGCAGATCGCGAATATATGTGTCGATGGGTCGCTACATCGCGGTAAAATGCACAATGGTTGTCTCTCCAATCGCGCCGCTACTCGGCGTCTTAAATTCTTAACTTACGAGCCGAACTTTTCTGTCCATACTTTTTATCCCGTCTCCCTACCCACGGCATTAAAAAGTAATCAATAAGGAAGCGACAGAATAAGAAATAGTATAAGCAGGATAACTACACGACAATTCTTATTCTTCGCTCACCATTACGCTGCACTTTCGCCAACGATCGCTAACGGAAAAACTATTAAATGGTCCGCATGCTTTCGTGAATGTTTCCTATCAATCTATCGTCGTCGTCCTTGCTCGATTATTTGTGTCATTTAGGGGGGACGCATGCAATCTCTATATCGATCGATTTTTTTATATTATTTCCTCGAAGTTATCAATTCATGTCGTCGCACATTACTCATGTGTCACTACCGCGATATCTTTTATTATTTAATCGAATGAAAATATAGGATGAAGCAAAGGAGAACGTGCCTATTTTCTAAGCATTAACGGTACATTAACATTTAATTAAAACTTAGTCGTAGGACGTTTCGCATTTGCATCTAACAACGTTCACGGATAGTTTTTACTGAAGATTTTGCCAAAGTTCGTGGAGAAAACTCGCATCGGGCAAACGCAATAGAATCCGCGCATTAAGAAGAACCAGCCGGAACTGAAAACATAAAATAATCTACGAGTCACAGATAATTATTGGAACTACAAACACGGAATGTTCCGTGACCCACGGATAATGTGCCAAATCGATGATGTCACGCTTCGATCGCATTATTGTCCTCGACGGGGCTTCTTCGATATACCTATATCGAATCCTCGTTTCAATGGGGAATATCGGTGCATGTCTGCAGTCTCTATAAAAATAATCGGCGAATAAGCTTACAACTTGGATCTTTTCGAAATATTTCTGACGATGAAGTTCTCGTTGCCTAAATCATTTTTATGAAAAGAATGATTATAAAAAGTAATATCGTGCCGTATCCTTGTAAATTACTTAAATAATCGTAACAGGTCGACACATCGACACAGAGACGTCGCGTGTTATGCCAAAGAGTACCCACGCTTCGCCAGCTAAAGGCATTAATAACGTCAAATATATTGGCTTGTGTTCGTCTCTTTCTTATATTTTAATTTAAAAATATCTGTATACATTTTACTTTAAGTATAAATCATGTAGAGATACAATTGGAAAATTATATCTCATGTTCCTTATTATTATTATTATTATTATTTCTTGTACTCAACATTATTTGCATTCATCTGTAATCTTATGTGTAATCATTACTTTCAATTTGATTTAACAACTGATAATTTCTTCTGTCTGTGGGATACGCCTGGGTGTCTCCAGATCGCTCCTCAACCTTCGGAATAATAGAACATGTGGTTCTAAAAATAAAAAAAATTTGTATTTAGTATTATGTACTAATATAATGTGTTAATATATACCTGATAATTTCATCAGTTTCTATGTATACCTGGTCCATGCATCATGTAATGAACCCATCCAGGACTCTGCTGAACTCCTAAATTTCTCCATTCAGTTTCTGTTATGAGATGAGTTTTTGGAACATGTCTGGCTATGTCGGGTGGTAGTATCACATGCCTACATCCAAACATACATACAATTTTACTTTCTTGTCTCAACATTATTTGCATTCATCTGTAATCTTATGTGTAATCATTACTTTCAATTACTTCAGTAAAAACTATCCGTGAACATTGTTAGATACAAATGCGAAACGTCCTACGACTAAGTTTTAATTAAATGTTAATGTACCGTTAATGCTTAGAAAATAGGCACGTTCTCCTTGTCTATATTTTATACCTGCTTTATTTATACAAAATTTTAAATTTCTTATAATATTTTTTAATTTAAGCAGCTTAAGCTTATTTTTTCCATTATTAGTTTTAAATATTTAAGAAAAATTTTGTGCTCCAATTGTTATATGCTATGGCTCCCACTCTGAATTCTCTTTTATCAATAAAAGTCACTTAAGAACTATTGACTGAGAAGCTACATTTAAGGCATTTTTATAGGTAAAAGAGAGTTCAGAATATAAGTCTAAGTATTCATGTTTAAAAGTACTATTTATTTTCTAAATCTTCATATCTGTATAAATTAAAATCTCATAAAAACTACTATAAAAAGATATTCGCTACATATAGATAATATAGATGATACATATATTTATAGATAATATTTAATATGTATAAATGTATCAACTCCCAAGATTTGTAAAAAAAATAGTACTTTTAAACATGAATACTT